GTAACCCCTTCATGGCTTGGTCCTACATTGGTTTCATTACCAGTACAAAGATCCTGAGTCTAAAGGGGCCAATGGAACAACATTGCTCTACTCTAACACAGCTCTAATTGTGTTTGCACAGCTCGAAGCAAAGCTGTTTACATTAAACGTGGAGCAGTATTTATACTTCATGCTTCTCATTGCTTCAGTGAGAAGCTTCAAAGCGCTCCGAGACGCTGTCCCGCTTGAAGCGCCTATATAAATGCAAGTTGTTGTTGTTGTTGTTCAGTGTTGGGGTCTCTGAGAGCTAATGCAGACTTAATGGGCCAAATGGCCTCCTTCTGCACTGTTAATTTCAAGTATTCTAAATAACGAGGCTCCACTTTATGGCATGAAATTGTGCCCTTAAAAAGCACGTTGAACCTTGGTGATACAGTAAAACTCGCATAAGTCTTATCTGTATAAATTATATAATCGTCTAAGTTGTACATCAGCTCAAGTCCCATTGAATTTCCTGTTATTTATAAGCTTCACGTAACTCATACTTTGCATAAGTCGTGTAAATGTATGGTCTCGCAGCTGATACGATTTATGTGAGGTTTACTGCAATAGTAATTGTTGCATTTGATATACCACCACGTCTAAGTACTTTGCAGGGTTTGCTGTAAAGTGTAGTGACTGTGTATTTTGCGGCCGAACTTTTTCAGCAATGCAACGTCCTTTCAGAGCTACAAAGCCGCAGCAGCAGCAGGCTGCAGATTTCTCAGCATGCCCTGGCCCTGCCTGTGTGATGACATCCGATCTGCAACACCACGCATTGTACATCCCGTCACGCAGGTATGTGATGTGTATGTCAGCCCTCAGATTTAGAAGCTTGTCCCTCAAGATTCCCCATCTGTGAGACAACAGCTCTAGCAGAGATGGGTGCCGTAACTTTAAGAGCCAGATTTTCCAAGAGCTAAAATTAGATCTCTTGAAAGATTACTTACAGGCAATGCTGCTTTGGAGTTGGGGGGATTTGGCTCTGAGGTGCCCTTTAACGGGTCTGGTTTGATTGAGGTAATTTTTGTTTGGCGGAGGGGAACCTGGCTCAATTGTGTGAAAAAGAGAGAACGTTCCAGGCAAGTGATGTACAGTGTTGGAAGGATGCAAAGTACATCACCTTGGAACCAGCTCAGCCCTGAGAGACATAACTCCCCCTTGAACCCATCCCCTCCCCGAAGATAATTTTGTACAAGAAGATGCTTTGAAGGCCATTGAAAACCCCTATTTATGATATTTTGATGCCTGCGGTTTTATGTGTGTCATCAAGAATGATTTACCCCGTTGTCATTAAGACAATCACTAACGAGGTTACTCGCTGAAGGAAATGATTAAAGCGCAGAAGAAAACAGGCGTATCGGGCTTCAATCCACTGGATGACGCAGATCCAAGTCAAGTCTATGGCTGTAATGCAACCCAGCTTCAGGGACCAAGGATGGTGTTGTGGTCAAAATGTACTCACTGTAATGTGTACTGATATTACATTGCCACGGAGTAACCTTGGTGTTTCGATCTAGGTCTACAGAGGATGCTTCAGAAATAGCCCAACAACTTGACACTGGCAGAGGAACCGTAAAGTTTTGAACAACATTAAATTCTCTGAAACATCTCCGAGGCCATGCATTAAAAAAACATGGGGGGAGGCACAAGGGGAGAGATTTAATTTGGGATTTAGGAAGGGGGTCAAATTACTTTGTAAGAGTTGCAAACTGTTTTGCTCAAATCCTCTGATCCTTGCGATTTCAACAAAAATATGTCTCCAAAAGAAAGCTTCCCCACAATGGGTAAAGGCAAATTGTTTTTCTTGGCCAAGACACAGATTCAAGTCGCGAGAAATGTGCTGAATCAGCTGATCTGAGCTGGGAAGCAGTAGGAGCCACAGTCTGTCTTAAATGCAACACGTTCAGGGAAAGAAAGTCAGTCCCACTCTTTGTTACATCTAGTGAACTCTAGTGGAAAGCAGAGACTAAGGTCTGTCTTATCTATGATGCCCCACTCCCCATATTGCATACACTGCCTGAACATTAAGGTCAAGGCTCACACATTGAGCAATTTTCACCAGGGATGCCTGTGGACCTGGCCTCCGACAAGTTTTGAGGAGGGGAGAAAATGCCCGCAAAATACACAGTCAGTTCACTTTACAGTTTATTCTGTGAAGCACTTTTGAGATGTATCAATGACATGATAAGGTGCATGATACGCACTTTGAGATGTTTCAACAATGTGATAAGGCACTGGATCAAATGCAAGGATGAGAGTGTTGTTGGCACCTGGCATGCTCGGTACAAAGGCATGATAGGAAGTCTCAGAATCCAAGACAGAGGAGGTTGATGGTCGAATCTAGATGTTTTACCTGGACTGAAGCCATTTGCTATCCGCTGACACAAGCAGTGTGTCCATTGCTTATAGAATCTTACAGCACAGAAGGAGGCCATTCGGCCCATCATGCCTGTGCCGGCTCTTTGAAAGAGCTATCCAATTAATCCCACTACCCCATAGCCACGCAAATTTTTCCTTTTCAAATAAACATCCAACTCTGTTTTGTCAATACAGCAATTGCCTGTTGGGTGGTGGAATTGCTTTGTGGATAGCATTCCTAACTCTCTCTCTCTCTGTTTCCCCCTCAGGAAGTCCTATCCATTCACCATCATCATCTGTCTTTTTGCATCTACCCTCAGTCTAATGGAGTCGCTCTGGCAGATAAGGGGAGAAAGTTATGAAAAGCAAAGATATCCCATCAATTGGTTGCCGGCCACCTTTTCATTGTTGCATTTCTTAAACATCTTCCACAAAAAATACCTTCAAACTTTTTTTTGCCATTAATATGTTTCCCCACAATGTTTATTTATTGGCCTATTGTGAAACGTCCACGCAGAAATAAGTAAAGATAGGTGTCTGATTAAAGAGCTTGTTATATTTTTTAATGGTGACTAATAATCTATTCAAAGTGCAGGAGAGAAACACAGTCACGCATACATTCCAGGGTTATAAATAGCACATTCTCAAACTGAAATGAATTAATACCGATGTGCCTCACAAACAGAAGAAAGCACAGAACATAAATAAAAATTAAGCGCGGAGAGGACAAAAAAGAGTTTGAGGTTTGAGGATATAGAACAGGAAATGGACAGGATCTGTGCCAAAGGCAAGCCCATTTGCTCTTGGGAATATGGCTGCCAAAAGCACTAGCCCATTCCCTATCCCAAATTGGGATAGAATGGATCGGTGCTGCATCTGTATGTGTCAGCTCTCTTGCCTTCGAGACAGAAGGCTGTGGGTTCAAACTCGCACGTGAGGACTTTGAACTCCTATGGTCTAAGCCGTCACTCCAATCTGGTCGTTTCAGAGGTGCCGTCCTTCAGATGAGATGTTAAACTGAGGCCCCATTTGCCTGTTTAAGTGGACGCCAAAGTTCCCGCAGCATTATTCCCAGTGTCTTGGCCAACCATCCCTCAGCTAACATGGAGATTCTCTTCATGTCTGTTTGTGGCACCTTCTAACGAAAGGTCATCGACCTGAAACATTAACTAATTTTCCTCTCTCCATAGTTTTATGGTGCAGTTCTGCATCTGCACCTGACTCAAGGAGCTTTACTAAGGAACAACAGACACTTGGATACAATAGGGTTGATTAGTAGTCAAATTTAAACCAACCAACGTGTGTGTAATGTGTGTAAACACAGCTGGATTATACACCATGTGTAAACCCACGCGGGGAAGAAATTACAGGTGCTCTTAATTATACCATTAACACCAATTAAAAGAGGATTGTTGGCTAATTAAAATGTAATAAATCCTTTTGTTAAATGTTAATTAACTAAGGGTACATGTAATTCCCTTTTTTACATACAAGTTTGCACATACTGCATAATAACCCTTATTATCCTCCTTTAACAGTACAACAAAACCACAATTTGTTCTTCATAAAGTGGATTTGAAAGGACCAATCTACTGTCACTATTTCAAGGAAAGGGGGAGTCTCTCTCCTGATTACACTGGCTTATGTGACCTTATATCACAGACAAGATACACCAAATGAGAGCGTATAGCCTAGATTCACAAGCACGTTAGCAATGATAAGTGAATACAGCTCTCCAGAAAGATTGGACAGGTTGGAGCTTTTTTCTCTAGAGTTGAGATGTTTGAGGGGACCTAATAGAGGTGTTTAATATTAGGAAAGGATTCAAAAAGGTGGATATTATGAGGTGAGTCCAAAAACAAGTATAAGATAGCTACTATTAGATTTAATATATTTTTTGGTCATCCGGGTGTCTGACACATGCGGAAACCCATCCCAATGTTTAAGAGTATCCAAGTATTCCATTCATTGCACCTACACATGGAAATTCCAGAGATAAATTGTTGAAATTTACACTCTCTCCCTGGAGGGATGCATCCTGCTTACCTAATTCCAGAAAGTATTAGGCCCAGGTTGGCAAAAACTGCTGGAGTCTAACCAGCTAAAACCCCACAGCTTGCCGTTGATATCACTGTTTGGCAAGCTTTCCCACTGCTTGTCCAGCTAGGACCACACAACCTGTTAGGGCTTTGGTTTGCACGTTTATTAGTAGCTGAGTGGGAGGATTCCCTGCCTCCAGTGACTGGATTGCCCATCCTAGTCCTGTTGATGAGCCAGGCTGGGCTGGGCCGTGCTGTCATCATCAATGCCCTGGAATACTGCAGACCCGCCCGGCTCAGGAACCGGATAACCAAGACCGCCACAGAGGGCTGCCTCCATTCCAACAGTCCATTGCCAAACATGCCACCTTGGAGCTAGTTTAGCTCTAAGGAGACACCACGTACCTCTCACTGTCAAGGAGGATAAGGCACTGTATAAATTAGTAGCCATTGTTGGAACGAGCAGATCTTTAGCTTTGTGCACTCATTAAACTAGAATTACAGTGAAACGGGGGAACATTTTTGAGTGAGAAAGGAAGAGCTTTAATTACAGCAACGTCAGGAAGTGGTTGCTACTTCCTTACATGTATATTAACACACCCCACAAGTTGAACGCAAAGTGCAACTGTTAAAAAATTCGACAAAGAAAATGGTTCAGCCTTACAGCTGGTTTAAGGCTGCAGCTATCTTCATGCTGTCACTTGGTAAGTCCCAATCCATTAACTCCTAAGTCTGCATTGCGGGAATGCCACTTGTTCAATCCCCTAGTTGCTTTAACTGCTGCACTGCGTGTTCAAGCAAGTGTGCGAGTTTTGGCAAGTAAAACCTTCCCTTGAATCTACTTATGGGAAGTAGTTTCAAATTACAATATTCTGTATCAGATTTTTTTCCCCAAAAAACATTTCCTTACAAAGCAAAGGCACGATCATTTTCATTTCCTGATCCGCTGCTAAAATAATCTCATTGCTTGTTGAATGGTACATCATGGTTTAAACAAAATTCGGAATATGGGCTGCCATGGTCAGTGATGATTCGTTGTTGGGGCCGATATCGGCTGTCTCCATTGTAGGTAATAACCTGGCGCAGTTAGTAGCAATATTGCCAGCAGATTGTGAGTTCAAGCCCCACATCGGGACTTCAAGGAAACTCTGCATTGTAGGTGGTGCTGTCCTTTAGATTGAGATGTTAAACTGAGGTGCCTGTTCAGGTTGCATGTTAGAACAATATAATAATACTGTAATAATAATATGTTAAAGATCCTAGGCATTATTTGCAAAGAGAAAGAAGTTTCTTCTGGTTTCCCTCCAAATAAAACTGGTCATTCACTTCATGGCTATTTGTGGGACCTTGCTGTGGGTAAATTGACTGTCATGTTTGCTTACACAATATGCGGTCAATATACTTTACAGTAAACTTGAGAGGTGCTTTAATTTAGCACCCTTCTTTACGTGAAAGGCACTATATCAAATGCAAGGATTTCATTATTATTAAAAGGGTATGTGGGCGAATGGTGGGATTTAGGGAGGGAGGGAATTATAATACTCCTGGTATTTGTTTCCTGAGTCATTAAGATGTCTCAAAGCATTTCACATGATATACTGTAGTGAATTCATTGTGTATTTTGTGGGTGAATACAACAGAAAAATCTCACAGACAGTCATTTTTTTTTATTTGTGAGATAATTAGCCAGGAGTTTGGGAGAAACTCCCTTTTTTTTATATAGTGCCCTGGGATCTTTAACGTCCATCTTAACAGGCAGACAGGATCTAGATTTAACGTATCCTACAAAGACAGTACCTACGACAAACACTCCCGGCATTCCCAGAGTGTTGGCACAGAGAATATGGGTTGCAAGTCTCTGAATGGTGTTTGAACCGACAACGCTTAGATTAGATTGTATTGCTCATGGCCTGTGTCTGACTGTTACATTGTATGATTCAATGCCAGGGTCAAGAACATTTCCCTGAGTGAAACGTTAGTGGTTGAGCCACTGACGAGAATATTTATCTTAAGAGCAAACAGGTTGTGAAACGGAACCATAATGTGCATGACACAATGTGTGTGCCTGGGATTACATGCAATGAAATATCTGTGTTTCTTTGGCCAACATTTACTCTATTTTCTTAGCATTTCAGGGCGTCCGGAATTTGACAAATTCTCAAATCACAAGATCAGTTACGGTGAAGAAGGTCCTTCAGGCCATCTGATCTCACCTTTCCAAAATATCCACCCTACCCCAGTCCCATCACGATATGAAGCTATTTTTTAAATGAGTCCCTGTGTCCCGGCTTCAAAGCCACCATTCCTGATAACAACACATTTTAGACGTTAAACGCCCGTTCCCCCCCTCCAGTCACTAATTTCACTCTGGGTAAAGCAAAAGTTTCTTGTGTCTGACTGAAAGTTTAGTGACAAGCTCTACGTTTAGATGTCTATCTCTGTATCACCATAATCAGAATAGAAGTGAAACATTTAGTGGGAAGGAAAGCAGCTTATCGCACTAAAACATCTGAAAGTTCTTCACAGTATTAATAGGCAAGTATTTGCTGAAAAATTATGCGCGATCAGAGCCTCTACTCACTGACATCGCCCTGTCCTGTGGTACTGTTCCCCACCATTAAAAACGCTGTCATCACTTCTATCCTTAAAAAACCCTCCCTGGACCCATTTCTACTCCCAAACTAATGCCCCATCTCCAACCTCCCTTTCCTCTTCAACGTCCTGGAACGAGTTGTTGCTTCCCAGCTTGGCTCCTTCCTCTCCTGTCAATCCCTTCTCGATCCCCTCCAATCGGGTTTCCCTGCCGCCCACAGCACAGAAATAGCACTGATCAAAGTGACAAAGGACATTCTGCGACCAGGGCTCCCTCTGCCTCCTCGTCCTCCTTGACCACTCTGCTGCCTTCGACACCGTCGACCACTCTATCCTCATCCACTACCTCTTGTCTCACCTCAACCTTCACGGCTCTGTCGTTGACTGGTTTAGATCGAACCTTTCACACCGTCTGCACTTCATCTCCTCAAATGGCTTCTCCTCTAGCCCTCACACCATCTCGTGTGGGGTTCCTCAGGGCTCTGTCCTTGATCCCCTTCTCTTCAATATGCTCCCTCTTGGTGACACCATCTACAGACATGGGGTCAAATTCCACATGTATGCGGATGACACCCAACTCTACCTCTCTGGCTCCACCCTTGACTCCAGGCCCACTGCTGACAGAATGTCTGTCAGACATCAAGTCCTGGATGAGAGCTAACGTTCTTCAGTTGAACGTCAACAAGACCGAGGCTCTCCTGATTGGCTCCCGTCAGCACCTCCACACCTCACGCGCTGATAGCATCACCATCCATGGTTGCACACTCCACCTTGCTAAGTCAGTTCGGAACCTTGGGGTCTTGTTTGACCCTCAACTATCCTTCTAACCCACATCTGCGTCATGACCTGCTCTGCCTTCCCCCATCTCCGCAACGTCACCCGGCTCCGTCACTGTCTTACACCGCAGGCCGCTAAAACCCTCATACACGCTTTCATTACATCGAGACTTGACTATGCAAACTCATTGCTTGTCGTCCTCCCCAACTCATCCCTCCACAGGATGCAGATCATCCAGAACTCTGCAGTCCATGTCCTCTCCCACAGTAGGCTCCGTGACCCTATCACCCCCATCCTCGCCCGACTCCACTGGCTTCCCATCAAACAGAGGATACAGTTCAAGATCCTGGTCCTCATCTTTAAAGCCCTCCATGGCCTTACTCCCGCCTAACGCTGTGACCTCCTAACCCCCTACCATCCTGCTCGCTCCCTCTATTCAGTGGGCTCCGGTCTCACGTCCCCCGCCTCGCTCGCCTCACTATTGGCGGACACTCTTCTGCCACTCTGCCCCCATCCTCTGGAACTCCATCCTGCAGTCCCTCTACCTCGCCCCTTCCCTTGCCATCTTCAAGACCCACCTCTTCGACCATGCTTTCGATCTCCCTGCCCTCCACCCTCCCCGACCCCCAGCTCGGGTCTGAAACTGTCTGTCCAGTGTCTTGAGACGTCCTCCCGACGTGAAAGGCGCTATACAAATGTAATTTTGTTGTTGTTGTAAGGTGTCAGCTTGGTTCAGTTGGTAGTACTTTCACCTTAGAGTCAACGGCTTGTGGCTCAAGCCACACGTTGAGCTTACAGTCAAATCTGAGACTCCAATCGCACCCAAAGTGCTGGGGGAGCACCACATTGTCAGAGTTGTTAGTCTTCAAAAGAGAAACTGAGGACCCGTCTGCCTGTCTAGGTGAACGTTAAAGATCCCATGGCGCTATTCAAAAAGAGAAGGGAGTGTCCCCTGGTGAAGTGAATACAATATTCCATATATAATTGGTCATTCACTTCATGTTATTCGCCTATACAAATAACTGTTATTTACAGCCATTCCTTTGAAGAGCTTTGACATGTTCCAACAATGTGATGACACTGTATCAAGTCTTATTATCAGTTAGAGTAAAAACCTCAATGCAAGGTTCTAGCAGGTTTTGCTCTACATCACAGTTCATTTCAAAACCACTGAAGTAAATGATGTGTTATAAGCTGTCCAAAGAAAGAGTTTCTAGTTGTTTTGATGCAATCTGTCAGATAGATCTCTGTCGCACTGTTTTTTGTTCTGCGAAAACAAGTTCCTTTGCTGAATATTACTGGATCTTCATAGAACATTTTCAAAATCATTAACAGGAAATTACATTTATAGAGCCCCTCTCATGTTGGGAGGATGTTTGACTAAGGAGCCGTAGCTGGGGAGTGGGTGGTGGGGGAGGGGTGGAGGTGACCCAAAGTGCAGGAGAAAGGTAAGTCTCAAGGCAGGCTTTAAAGATGGGGAGGGAGGGGGTGAGACAGAGGTACTCTAGAATGCAGCTCCAGAGAGTGGGGGTCAGAATGGCTTAAAGCTTGCCTACTAATGGTAGGGCTGATCAGATGGGGGATGTGGAAGCCAATTTGCAGACAGCAATGACCCACAAACAGCCATGAAATTAATGGTTAATTTTATCTGGGGGGGCGGGGATTGTTGGCTAGGAGACCGGGAGGAACTCCCATCCCTTTTTGAACAGTGCCATGCGATCAAGGCAGACTGGGCCGCATCTGAATGACAGCACCTCTGTCAATGCACACTCACCCCACTGCACTAGAGTATCAACTTAGACTATGCGAGCTCAAAGACCCAACATATGGATTTTCTCTTGTAAAACAACACAAGGAGTGTGTGTGTGTGGGGGCGGAACGGGTGTTTAACGTCTAAAATGTGTTGTTCTCTAATATATTTCCTATGATTAGGAGGGAAAGAAACCTGAGTTAGGGCTCAGTGCACTCTAACTGAATACTGCTGTAACACTGACTTGTCTGCATGACACAATGAATAAATTCCTTTGAGATTTGATTGCTTGACTAGCTGATAGTGTGGTGTGTTATCATGAATAGCTGGAAGTTTGTGAGGTTAAACATTTTCTTTTTTTTATGCTGTGCCAAATGTTGTGCATCTTGATTGCTTTCATAAGAGTTCTATATGCCAGGGGTGGAGGGGGATGAGCATCATGGCCTTACTGAGACAAGCTTGCTTGCAATCTTGCAAACCATTAAAGTACAAGCTATCCTGCGGGTTCACCGAGTTTATTCAATGGGTTGCTGAGCTCAATCGCCCTGAGAGGTCCCCAGTTTGATCTGTACTGAGTCGGCCTGTGCAGCATTGCGAGTGGATGTAGGAGCAGCACAACAAATAGACTTGGTACCCCCTGGGTTTGGGAAAGGAAATCAGGCAGCATTCCTACTCCAGAGATCACTGGGATTTTATAATGTTATCCCACATACAGACTTCTGCCTCTTTTGAAGTCAAAAGCTTTCCACGGTCTTGCTTTTCCTTACCTCTGCGATCTATTAAAACGTCACCATCCTGTCTGCTCACTCTGCTCGGAAGGCACTGGCCTGCTCTATGTCTCCCGCCCTGCCCACTCCATCAATGGCAGACGAGCCTTCAGTATTTCTGACTCTACTCTCTGGAACTTTAATCCGGAGTACCTTCATCTCGCCCCATCCCGCGCCTCGCTCCTTCAAGGTCCATCTCAAGACCTTCCTCTTTGACCGTGCCTTTGGTCACCCTCCCAACTCCATCCCCATTGTCCTCCACCCCTCTTGATTTCAACCCTTAGCTTGGGTGCAAATCCTTCACTGTCTAGTGCTTTGGGACGTCCTCTCAACTTGAAAAGCACAATATAAATGCAATTTGTTGTTGTTGTCATCTCCACAGCCACAAATGTAAGGTACATTCATGGTGGGCAGTGCAGACAGGAAATAAGTCTTGACCTGGGATTTCAACCCACAACTGTCTGACTCAGAGATGCCAGTTTGATATACAATGGCATGCACTTACTAATATGTGGGGCAATTGCCAGGACATTATATGACAGGGATTTTTTTGCCTTATCATTGGGTTCTCAGATACACTCTGATATCTGTCAGATGGATTAATCCAACATGCAAAGCAGCCTGGAGGGAAAGATTCCCCCCACTCCTTAACCCTTCAAATTGTTTTTTTCTCTCTTCTTAAAGCCCCTCCTCTCCACGAAGCCTCGGCTTCCTTTTAACAAGGGGATAGTGCCACAGGCATAGGTTCCCCACCAGGAACTCAGTCAAGTGGTCTTTATTCCTCTCTGAAGCTCTGGGCTGAGTATTCACAGGAGGCATTGCGGCCGAGTCTGTTCCCTGTCCTTGCCTGAAGCCCACACGAGGAGACTATGTGCACAATTATTCCCCCTAAACGCTCACTTCAAAAGATCGCAAGATTAATTCGGATGCGGAAGTTGCTTCGGCCCATCAGATCTCATCCCATCGAGAACACCCACCCTACTGACCTCCCATCATAGCACTGAGCTGCTTCTATTGCACAAGAGTGAGGGTAAATCAAGCCCTACATGTGTTGCAGATAATTTTTTGTCAAATGCCACAGGTCACCTGTTGTATAACAACAACAACTTGCAGACATGCAGGGTAGCATCTCAGAGCTCTTACCAGTGGCGGAGCATGACTCATTTTACAATAACACATTTTACAGGAATACTTTGGCAGCGTGATCAACGAACAAATGTTCGTAGGAGTCAGTTTGTATAAACTGGAATCTCAGGCTTCACAGTCAAATGAGTTTGCCAAATAGCATCGCTCCACTGAGCTGCTAACTTTGAGCACACAACATCAGATTTCTGGTTTCACACTTTCCATCTGGAATCGTGAAAAGCAGTGCCAGGCAACGTTAATAATAATAATCATGTAATTGCTCCAGGCTGTCATCATTGCAGTCGTTCTGTCCAGAACATTTGCAGAACTTTCAGCAACAATGATCAAATCAATCATAGAATTATAGAATGTTTATTGGACAGAGGAAGGTCAGTTGGCCCACTGTGTCCATGCTGGTGCTTGCTCCTCCCTCTGAAGTGATCTACTCCAATCCTATTCCCTTGCTTAATCCTCATTGTGACTGTCCTGGAGGATTGTTGGTCAGGACACCAGTTGAAACTCCCTTCTCTTTTTGAACAGATATCTTTAATATCCACTGACCAGGCTGTGTTGCCTCCCAGAAAGATCACAAGGCGTGGCTAGTACTGCTAGCCACGTATCACTTGTCGAATGTCAAATGACCAATTAGTGATTATCCTCTTTGGGGAGCTGGACCAGCTCCAAGGTGACGTGTGGCCACGGAATGTCAGAATCGAGCCAGCCCTCTCTGGCATTCTCGATAGTCCACTTCTTGAGCCAGGAGGGTCTGCAGTATTCCAGGGCACTGCTGATGACAGCACAGCCACCCTGGCTCAACAACAGGTCTTGGAAAGTCACCGTGGGCAGGAAATCATACCAGTCAGCTTCCATTAACCCTGCAAGCCAAAGCCCTAACTGGTAACTTGGTCCAAGCTGAACAAACAGAAGGAAATCTTGCCAGAAAGTACTTTCAATGGCAAGCTATGCGGTTTTAGCTAGTTAGGCTCCAGCAGTACCCCAATACACACGCTTGGGTCCCCAAGCCTTGAATCTTGCCAACCTGGGCCTAATACTTTTTGGAATTATCCTTCCAGTGAGAGAGTATGCATTCTTTCCAATAAATATCTTAGGCGTTTCCACATGTAGGTGGGATGCTATATAAATGCAAGGATTATTATTATTATGGAATTCTCAGTTTGATTTGGATACTCTTAAGCATGGCGATGAGTTTCTGCATGTGTCAGACACCCGGCTGACCAAAAAAAAACTCAGTTTAGTGGTTCATCCGAAGGACAGTACTTCAGAAAATGCAGCATTCCCTCAGCATTGCACAACTCGGAGTGGCAACCCAGAATCTGACACGACGACGACAATCACTTGCACTTATATAGCGTCCTCCACGCAGGGTAGCATCTCAGAGGGCTTAACAGTGGCAGAGCCTGACTCTGAGCTGGTGGGAGGCGGGAGGTGGCCATAAGCACGGTCGAAGAGGAAAGTTTTCAGGCGGGACTTGAAAGAGTGGAGAGAGGGGGCAAAGTGGAGGGATTGAGGGAGAGTATTCCAGAGTTTTGGGGCATAGTGACTGAAAGCACGCCTCCGATGGTGGGGAGGAAGGGTGCGAGGGACAAGCAGGGGGCCGGTGCCAATCAAGCGGAGGCGCTGGGTGGTGGATTGGGGAGTGAGTAGGTTGGAGAGGTAGGGGGGTACCAGAGAGTGAAGGGATTTGAACACAAGCGTGAGGATCTTGAAGTGACCTTAAAGTTCTGACAATAACCTACAACATTCTGACTCTAAGTGCAAGTGACACACCGGTTCTACCAACTGAGCCAGGCTGATACCTGTTACAGAGTTTGCCACAATTGTTTGTGGGAACTTTCATTCCCCAGTGCCAAGCTTGAGAAAGTAACCTTGAGTTGAAGTGTTTCTGAGGGGTGAGGGGAATGCATTTCACTCATAATTATAGACATTACTCTGCATTTAGAGGCATTTTAGGTTGTACAGAGCTAGAAACTGTGAAAATAAATACACTAGGGCCTGACTTGCTTTTTTTTTCATATGACCTAAACAAATTTCATGATTTGAACAATTTAATTACAGCAATTAGGGCCAAATTGGGCATTGCTCAGGATCGCCCTTTCCCAATCCCGCTTGTTTCAATCATCAATGAGATGGGACTGTGTAGGTATTGAAGAGAAATGAGACGTCTGCACTATATTTGGCAGTACCTATCCACCAGTCATTTAGTAGCCTGCACTCCCTGGAGATGTTGTATACTGTTGTATGCTGTAATGAGGGAATATAATGCTCAGTGCCGCTCCCTGTGAAATTAGATGTTAGCAGCAGGAGGTATGAAAGGTTGCCAAGTGCCTGATTCAGTGCTTGCACATCTCACACTGTTATCAGATGACAGGATTGTCGGGGTAAAAACTCCACCTGGGCCCACATTCTCCCATTACGCAGCATTTTGGAACATTCCAGAAATTTAGCAAATTTTCTGAAACCACAACAAACCAACTCTAAAGGTAAAAATCATTTCAACAATTTGCCAAGTTTCAGGCCAGTCTGAATATCTAAGAAAACAGAGTAAATGTGGAGACAGGTGGAACTTCTCAAGAATAAGAATAATAATTGTCGCATTTGGTAAAGCCCTTTCATGTAGGAAAGACATTCACAGCAAACACAACAGTTAATTTAGCTCGTAGATCTGATTTTCATCTGGGGGAAACGGAAAGAAATTTCCTTCGCTTTTTGAATGGCGTCACAGGATCTATAACATCCACCTGAACAGTCAGACAAGGCCTAGAGTTGTAGAGACCAGTAACAAGGGTGACGTTTGTGACATTTCTTAACAGACTGTAATCCCATGCTGATTAACACATGAAATCTATTATGAAATGCCACAAACTTTACCCCAATAATCACTGGTCTGACTAGCAAGTTGTATCCACTGATGTTGTTTGTTTTGTGTTGCAGACTATTTGACAGCCCAAGCATCAGCTGGAGATGCTACTGAGAAAAGTGATGAAATTGGTAACTAACTATTCTTGGCTAAAACAACTTAAAGATCTATCCTCTGCATCTGTCTTGACTGATATTTACACAATACACATACATCAACATTATGCCCACTGGAATTAAGAATTAAGAATTGATGCATCAGTATCACAAGACTGGTTCAGATGTAGACCCTTTGACCCATCTGATCTCCTCCAACCAGAACATCCACCCAATTGTTCTCCCATCGCAGCATCAAGCTGTTTTTCAAACGAGTCCAGTGTACTGATCTCAACCACCTTATATGGTTAAACCCATCCCAGTCACTGAATACACTCTATGTCATGTCATACTTCCTGATGTTTGTCCTGAACGTGCCCTGAAATGATGCCCTCTCACATTGCTGCTTTGGCATATTTAAGAGTACTGTTGTGAGTTTAGTTTCTGAATCCCATTTAGAATCTCATACATCCCTACAAGGTCCTCCCTGTGATGATGCCTCTATTCAAGACTCCTGTATGCCTAATTGTCCCTCATAGCTCATCCCTCTAACTCGGGATAATCCTCTTTGCTCTGCTCTACATTCGCATGCAGGTTGCAATGTAGTTGACCGCAAGTTTGGTTTGTGATTTGGCTTTATGAAACGTTTCTTGCCAGACAAGTAGAGGTGATGAGGTACCCCATGGCTTGATATTTCCAAAATGGCTAGATGGTAGGGTTGATGTTTGGAAGGAGTACTGTGACAAATCTGACCGAATTCCTATAGGAGGGCCTTCAACCCCTCCAAATTTGTGAGGACATCTCAAAGAGGTTTACAGTATAGACTGTAAAGTGTAGTGACTGTGGTGATGTCCTCTTTGGGGTTCATTGTCTGTACTCATCTGTTCTTTTCTAGACGTCAAGTACGCTTTACTGGGAGCTGGTATTGGATTATTTCTGGTCATCTCGTTTGTTTTAATAAAGGTTTACATGATTAAAAAGCACATTTTTGAAAATGAATTTTCAGGTAAGGTTTTTTTGAGAGAGTAAATCTTTCATTGATATATATATTTCTGTGCTGTACATTCTATATAGATCTATGGAACGTCGGGTTGGTAAGGAGATCAATTTAATCTCACCGCCTGCCTTATCCCCATACCCCTTGTATTAGTACGAGACAAGCGAGATTCAACCTTCTATTCTTCCAAGCTAACCCTCGAACACTGTCCTCCCCATCACAGCAAAATGTTTTTTAAATGCCACCCTTCGATAACTGGTCACTCCAGTCGTTATTTACCCTCTGAGTAAAGAAATACAATGGCGAGTGCCCTGAAATTACCCTTTGCAACTCTAAACCCGCATCGTCTTGTTTTGCTGTCTCAGTGTACTGTTCGGAGTACACTTTCACAATCCCGTTTATCTTACATGCCCCTATACAGACCAGGTGTAATTTAAAAGTAAAAGGTACGATGTGCCATAAACCTGCAATTGTTTTTCGCTCAAAGCGTGGGTGCATGTTTCACTTCACCTATAATGTAAGTAGCAAACAGGAAGCGTTCAGACTTATTTCCTGTTTTATTAAGATGTGCTATCAGAAATAACCTGTCTTTGATCAGTACAGATCACAGCACGATTAATTTGAATTGCTAGAATTTAATGCTGACAACTTCTTTTGTTTCATTATTTTCGTTTTAGATCCTCCATCCAGGCAAAGCAATACATTAAGGTAATACTGTAGGTGACAATTTTCTCAGACAGAATAATACGCTTGTCAGTAGGAAGGTATCAATCCTTCTCAAACTGTTGATTGTAAACGTCATCTGTTGACTAGTGTTCATTAACAGGAGGGAGTTTCTCCCGGCGTCCTGGTCGAAAATCCTCCAGATTAATGGTTCATTCACTTTATGGCTATCTGTGTGAGTTTGCTGTGCGCAAACTGGCTGCCGTGTTTGTCTACAAAAACAGTCATTACTTTTGACAGCAGGTAAAAGGAGTAGTGGGCAGCCTACACAAGACAACACCAGACTTCCTTATTGGAGCATCAAATTGCAAGGTCAGACGTCCAGTTAGGGATTGCACTAATCTATTCAAAGACAAATGCCCTCATGAAAAATAAAAATAATCCTTGCATGCGGATTATTTTGTAGTCAAACCACTTTACAGTATATCCTGTGAAGCACTTTGAGACGTCTCGACAATGTGATAAGGATCTATATCAAATGCTAGGATTATTATTACTATTATTATTATTCAGCTTCATGGTAATTACCTGATGATATTTTCAGTTGAAAGTTGTCCAAAGGCTTTGCTTCAGTTTCTCTGAGCTCACTTCTGTATTTGCTCAATGCAATCGCAAAATAAATTGCAATGAGTTCTGCTGAAGGCATGAAAACAACAGTTTAGGTGAGTTTAAAGCTCAAAGTGTGCTTCTTTAGAAAAGGACAGATAAATTTATCTTTAAACTGAAGATAACTTTAAAATGCCTTTGCTAAAAAAAACACTTAATACTTGAATACATAAGTATATAGTGACTTTTAAAAAAAATTAGGTAACAATTTTACACTATATTTGTGTAATGGTCTGATCTAATCTCATATTGCTCTAGTTATTAACTGATCAAAAAAAATCTTATCATTCGCCCACAAAATACAGTCAATTCACTTCACAGAATATCCTGTGAACCGCTTTGAAATGTCTCGACAACGTGATAAGGCACTTTTCCAAATGCAAGGATTGTTACTTGTAATAATATTAATAATTCTTGCATTTCATATTTGCACCTTATCATGCCGTTGAAAATTGTCAAAGCCAATTTGCAAACCGGAATGACCCACAGACAGCCACAAAGTGAAGCTCCTATCTCTTTCTCTAAGGTTGACCTCAATAGGCACGCTTGTTTATCATCTGGAAACTGCCATTCTAATCATTGTGGCATCCCATTGAAATCTGGGGTTTTCCATTATACAGAAGGAGCTAAAAGATAGCTGTTTAATGATTACAGTGTGAAAGTCCCCAGAGAATAGGAGTAGGCTATTTGCCTTGCCTCTTGAACTGAGACTGCTATGCGGGCAGCCCTAAAGATAGGGAATTACATCCTAAAGTAAACTATACTGTACAAACAAACAAAAAAACAAAATTACATTTGTATAGCGACTTTCATGTTGGGAGGACGTCCCACTCCTGTCCTGCTGCTATCTTGGGAAACGTATCAGTTATTAAAAAATAAATAAAAATTATGATAATTTGATCACTCAATCCATGACCGTTTGTGGGACACTGCTGTGTGCAATCGGCTGCCGAATTTCGCCCACAAAATTCAATCAATCCACTTTACAGTTTATTCTGTGGAGCACTTTGAAACGACACGATAAAACCAGAAGGAATTGCAATTCGAGTTCTGTGAGGTTCACTAACTGGAAGCCAAAGCCGAAATTGATATAACAACAAGTCACACTTATAGAATGCCTCCAAGCTCTTCACAAAGTGAGATTCATTAGAAATCAGTCCCTAACGTGATATTACAAGTCTATAAAATGGACAATGCGGGACTTGAACCCACAACCTCTGACTGAAAGGTGAGCATGCCGCCAACTGAGCCAGACTGACACACAAAAGCTCTTGTAACTGAAACATCAGTAGTAAATCTGTGTCTGTCTCTAGAGTAGCCAGCGCCTTGGGACGTCCTCCCAACGTGAAAGGCGCTCTATAAATGGAATCTTGTTGTTGTTGTTGTTGTTGTGGGTAAGTGTAAACTCAATGTAAAATCCGAGCATTGTCTGTATGAACCAAGGCTTTTTACATATTGCACAGTACAAACCTTCTGCTGAGGTACCAAGTAGGTTTTTTGTTTTCCTTTTCTGCTCAAAAGGAAACAAAAGGGTGTATTTGCCATATTGATTTGCNTTTTTTTAAACTTCAGAGAATGGATGAGAGAAGACAGAAAAAGATCGGAGCTCAGTTTCAGGAAGTAGCTGTGCCTCATTGGGACAATCTCGCCTTGTTTTTGTTCAATTGGAGACAACGCCCCTCAAAAACAGTTATTATCTGGGTATATGTTCAAATATAGGACCAGCAGACTTCCTTATGTGTGTAACTATGTGATAGTTTTACATTTAAAATAGTTTTCTACTGACTGTTATACTACCACTTTTGGGTATCACTTTACATAAGAGGAGTTGCTGTCAAACTGCACACCATTGAAAGTTCCCATCAAGGGCTTTCTGTCACTTGTTCTGAACGTTGTAAAGGAGAACCAGAGAAATGGGTGGAATCAAATCTGTTGGGACACGGCATCTCTGAAATAATCTTCAGAGTTTTTATGCTTTTTGTGTTGAAATTCTCGTTCACATACTTCATGTGAATAATTCGCAGAATCATAGAAATTTAAAGCATAGGTCTGCACCGGCTCTCGGCAAGCTTATTTTCAATCTCATAGCCCTGCCCTAACCCCCCCAAATCTCTTCAAGCCTCTACCCTTCACATACCCGTCTACTTCCCTCTTGAAACTCACAATCGACTTCGCCTCTGCTACGTTATTTGTCAAGGCATTCCACGTCCGAACAACTCTCTGTGTGAAAATATTCTCCTGTTGTGGCTATTTTACATCAATATAATCACACGCTCTTGCTGTCCAGCATTCATAAACAATAGGTTATGGGCTTCCTGCTTTTTTTACAAAGAGCCGTAAAACCATTGAAATGATAGTAAAGGAGAAGCACTGTCTGGATGAACCGAGGCTCTTTGTGTGTTGCACAGCACAAACCAACCACTCTCCCCAATTCTTCTGCTGAGGTTGTAAGTATCACTGAGCCCACGCTAGTGCATGCTCATCCACTGAAGGTATCTACTCAAATCTCAAATCCTGCTCTCCCATTACCCCCCATCATCCCATACTCTTTTTTTCCCTGGCACCTCTTTACCCTTCCGATCATCTCCTATCTCACTCCTCTGCTCGCCCCTTCCCTAACATTACAGAAACTACTTTCAAATTCCTGCACCACAAGACACCTGGAAAGGTCCTGGCTCCAAGCTGTCATAGATTGTCATAGATAGTCCTAAATCCTGTTCAAATAACACCGATCCTTGACACAGACGCACACCTTACTACTTCTCCCTGACCCAAATGACCTTAAAACCTGGACCTTCTGGATACTGTATTCATATCAATATATGCATTTGTCAGTATGAAACCTGCATTGTATTTTGATCCAGGATCACATGTAAACTTTCCTGATTTCAATGAAAAAATTGCAGTTGTCTACATTTACTATCTATGTATTAAAATAATAATAATCCTTACATTTCATTGAGCGTCATTCATGTCTAGAGGACATCTGCAAACACTTCTCAACATCTACTCCGAATTATCACAGTCGCTGAACCAATGAGTTTGGAGGAACAAGTCCACTCAGACCAGAAGTTCACAGGTTCAAAGCCCCGGATGAAATTCGCTGATGTTAATCATGGCTCAAAGAATCAGAGTGCTATATATTTGAGTCCTGTGTCTGAGACAGGAAGGAAGAAATCTGCCTGAATCATGCATGATTTGTGCAACTTGTTCTGGTCTCGATGTTATGAATTTGTACAGCAGGCAGTTTCAGCTGAGTTCAAGTAATTAGCTAATTAACAATATCTAATAAAAATCAAATTAGATATTTACTTTATCTAATTTGGTAAAGGGATGATGTTCTCCTACTAACAGCTATCACAGACCCAAAGGGTCGAATGGTCTCTGTGCTGTAAGTTCCAATGATTAACTATCTTTCTGGTGTAATGAGTAGCCGTTGTAAGGGTTAAGATTGGAGTATAAATTGGCAGAGAATTGCAGAGAGCTCACTGGCTCTGGGAGGAACATGGCAAAGATTAAGAAGAGAACTGGGCGGGTATTTAAGAAGAGAGCAGTTCAGAGGTGTATATTGCCTTTTGAACATGATTTTCCTCGTCTGTTCAGTAGCTCAGGAAGTGGGATGTGTCTCCCACTTGGGATGTGTGCCCACTGTTTGCATTGCGCTCATAGGCTGGGCCCCTGGACGTAATTCTCCACAACGACTTGCAGCTACCTACTTGCAAAAGTCGGGAGCTCAGGATTGAAAAGTTGGCTTGCTCTCCGCACACACATTACATTGGCATGTTTTGTGTTTTGTTGAAATATGGTTGTTAAAATAAAACCCGTCTGTTAAAATAAGCGTTCTGCTCAGTTGCTGGCAGTCTGGTTGAACATTCCTAAGCCACTGTTTGGCAATTTTTTTTCCTTTTCCTTGCATTTCATATAGCGCCTTATCATGTTGTCAAGAGGTCTCAAAGCGTTTCACAGGATAAACAGTAAAGCACTCCTGAATATTTTTTTGTGGGTGAACATGGCAGCCAATTTGTGCACAGCAATGTTCTACAAACAAACTTGGTGGGTGGGGGGGGAACAGTGTGGGTGGGGAGGAAAACCATTGCATGATATTATCACTGGTGATAATCATCACATTGGCACTGAAAAAAACAGGTATCAAAAGCTTTGAGAGGTCGGAAGATACACCCCTTGGCTGGTTACGGCTCATGAACTGCTTTCAACTACATGTTTGGTTGACGTGTTTGTCTCCAACAGTAATCGCGGGGCCCTTCTTTCCTTCCCACATAAACAGGGATGGCCAATTAGCCTGGTGACTATTCAACTGGATAAGATGTTCTTAACCCATTGCTTCACCTTTTCTCCAACCATCCTTCTCCCCCTCCCAATAAGATTACTCCCAAAAGGTGACCTGGACAAAACAAACAAATGTACATCTACATGGGAAGCACACATAAAATACGTAGCAGGGGACGGGTGGAAGGGGTGGGGGGTGGTGGATTGCTGGCCAGGACACTGGGAGAAATCCCCTTCTCTTTTCAAATAGAGCTATAAAGGATATGTAATATCCACTTGAACACCCAGACAGGGCCTTGGTTTAATGTCTAATTTGAAGTCCAGCAAAGCAGTACATCCTCAGGTCTGTATTGGAGTGTCAGCTGCATGAGTTCAAAGCCCTGACTTGAACCCACGACCTTCTGTCTTGAAGGCGAGAGTGCAACTGACTGAGCCAGGCTGACACCTAGAAGGCTAAGTCTCTCTTTTTGTGTCTGATGGTTCGATGAGCAGCTTTCCAGGTAATGGGTTGGCCTAACTCACTGCAATCAGAAGCTGCACGAGGGATCCATTGCAAAATCCATCTCCGCACCCAGAATCCAACCAAACTGGTTTACTGCAGCCTTTTCAGTGCCAAGCCTTGCCATCCTTCCACAAAGAGGACGGAAACAAAACAACACAGTTGTAGCCCTGCACTATTTAATATGCAGGTAGTGAGGGAGCAGCACTGAACTACGCTAACATAGAAACCCACAGCATTTTACTGCTAAAGCAAATTTTCATTGAATTATTTCCATTCTCAGACTAACCATTAACATGGCTAAAAGTTTCCAAACATAAGTGAGGTTGAGGTTTTTTTTCCTCCTCCAAGTACTGCAAAAGTTTGGCTCACATTTTCATCGTTAAATTTAGTGTACATTTGACTCATTACTTCATCCAGGCTGACACACCCCAATACAGCGCTGGAGGAGTGCTGCATTGTTGGAGGTGCACCGTTCAGATGAGATGTTAAACTGGTCAGGTGGATGGTGAAGTTCCCAAAGGCAATATTCAACAAAAGAAAGATGTTTCTCCTAGTGTCCTGGCCAATAAATCCTCAAATAAAAATGATAATTCACTTCATGACTGTTTATGGAACATCGCCGTGTGCAAATTGGCTTCCTCGTCTGATTTTAATATCCACTTGGGTAGGCAGATGAGATCTTGGTTGGAGAGTCAGTGCAGATTATATGGATTCCAAGTCCCGACATGGGGCTTGAACCCACAACCGTCTGACTCAGAGGCAAGAGTGCTACCAACTGAGCCAGGCTGACACAATGCTGACACTGGTATGTGGCGAAGGTGCAATCAATGGTTCATTACACTACAGCAATGTTTCTGCCCAATCGCTGGGGTCTCAGATACACTCTTATACCTGTCAGGTGGATTAATCACACTACATTTACAATGAGCAAAGCCATACCGGCCTGGAGAAAAAGATTCCACGCCCCCCCGCCACCCCTGACAAACAAGAGCTGTTGATACTACAGCCTGCTGTGGCCCCCACAGCAAGTAATTAGTGGCATGATCGACTGCACATAATTTGCGTAATGTTGCTGTCAATAAGGAGATTCTGCTGCTGATGAATGGCATTGTGCCGTTTCTTTATTGTCAGGCGAGTGACTTACTGTAGCTGAGCACTTACTGGCCTCAGGGGCCAAGCTCCGTGCATGGATCAGTTTCCATTTGATTTCCCCAGATCACCCGCCCAATAATTCAGAGGCTCAATATTTGCTCCATTTTATCCATCTTCCCCGCTGCACTCGCTTAAAGCTCTGCTCCCTGCAACTGACCTCTGCGTCGTTCAGTCAGACCTATTAATCTCCAGGTCAAAGCCGGACAGGATGTAGGCTGCCCGAGTGCCCTGAGTGAGAGGGCAACTCTCCGGGATAACACCACAGATTGGGACTTAAAGAGCTTGCGTGGTGTCCTGAGTGCCCAGGGGTCACCTCGTGTCAGGAAGTGGCAAAGAGGTGGCATTGAGCAACATCTGCCTTCTGTGAATCCACTATCTCGGGCTGATTAAATTATTTGTCTCTGTCTGGAGAGCCTGTCAGAATCTCCTGCCAGTTGGTGTGATCAACCACCGTTCAAAAACAAAACAAAATTTCTTACACTGAGTTTATTAGTCTATGACAAGCTGCGTATAATTCAATTACCTGCAATCCTAAGTGTTCACCCATCTTAATAGCAAGGCAATGTAATGACATTAGCAGGCTATGTTAAAAGGGAGCACGTGTGATCTGTATTTGTTTCAGCTGCTTATTACACCATAGGAGGTGGGGTAGGAGCTGACCGCACCTGAGAGAAAATAAACTGGGTTTTCCCTACTCCATTGGCATGAAGCAATTGTTAAACAAAAGGATGCACCGTCTTCAATTAAATCACTGCACTATCTGCAGTCCATCTAGCAGTTATTCAAGTCAAAAGCGCCTTGTAACAACAACCACTTTGGTAATGTCCACTGAACAATCGTGGACAGATATTTGCACGGATCCATTGCCCTTGTGGGGTAAGAAGCCCCATCCCCAGGCTCCAGAGGTAACAAGGATGTGGAGTGCTGTCCTTCAAATTAAACTTTAAACCAAGGTCCCATTTGCCTGACCGAGTGGATGTTAAAAATCCCCCATTATTCGAAAAGAGAAGGGAGTTTCTTCCAGTGTCCTGGCCAACAATTCCCCCGATATAAATCGATCATTGCTTCAAAAAGAAGTAATAATAATAAATTGGTCACTTCAATCCACGACTGTTTGTGAGACTCTACTGTGCACAATTGGCTGCCGCCTTTTACCCACAAAATTGACAGGCAATCCACTTTACAGAAACACTTTGAGACGTCTCAAAGACATGATAAGGGGCTATATCAAATGCAAGCATTATTATTATTATTATTCACTCCATGATTTTTGGTGGGACATTGCTGTGTGTAAATTGGCTGCTGCATTCAACTACAGAAATTCAGTCACTACACATAGAGCTTGATGCTGTCTGCGAACAGGGTGGGTTGAGATCAAATGATCATTGATCTATCAAATGCAAGGATTATTATAATGCTTAGACATTTTTGTTCTAAAACAGTTAGGAACTGTTTACCTTACAACACTTTCTAGCCTATTCATCACAGGCAAGAGACACAACAGAATCCAAGAGGAATCCAGTCACATTGTCTGGTCTATTACAGCATCATTGGTTTAACAGCAGAGAGTCAACACGTGGACATCCTAATATCCTGTGATTTCAAGTACGACGTGGGGCTTGAACCCTATAACCTTCTAAGAGGCGAGAGTATTACCACTGCGCCAGGCTGACCCACGTTAAAGTTGGCCTTTGGGCATTCTTGCACAGGAAGTTCCGGGTGCCTCCGAAACTGACGAAGGATGGATTTTTCTGCAGACAAGGTGGATGAACCTCTTGATTTGTCCACCCATCGCCCCACACTCACCTCACCCCACTGCCCTCCCCAACCCCATGCATATACACAGAGAGAATTGTGCCATCTCTGTCCAGCCTTGCCCCCTTCAAGGCCTGTCTCAAGACCTTCCTTTTCATGGCTTCAGTCAACTTCCCTCCTCCACCCCTCTCTGATCCCAACCCACAGCTCGGGTGAAAACCCCTCATTGTCCAGCACCTTGGGACGTTCTCCCAATGTGAAAGGTGCTGTATAAATGCCACTTGTTGTAGTTGTTGCCTCCCACCATGTGGCTCAGCAGAGAAGTGGAATGCCTCACTGAACAGCCACCGCCCTACTACCAGTCAGTCAGAACATTTGTTAATGCTCCCTGAACGGTATAAAATTGGCTGTTTAAAATGGATCGTGTTTGCGTGAAATCAGTAAGAAAGAGGTGCTGCTGCTCTCTACGTTTCAGCTAATCCTCGGCTTGGCCAGACAGGAAACATAACAGGCAGCTCCTTCAGGGCTGGGGCTAGCACTCTGCACAGCCGGGTCTGTGTGCATAGAGCTGAGGCACACACACCAGGCAGTCACGAAACTGGCAATGAGTCTATCCTGGATTGCAGCATTTTATGGTAGAGGAATGATATAGATCCCCATGTACTAATAATCCTTTCAAAGAAAATAAAATTGGTCGCTCCATCCACGACTGTTTGCGGGACACTGCCGTGCGCAATTAGCTGCCGTGTTTTGTCCATAAAATACACAGTCAATTCACTGAACAGCATATTCTGTGAAGCGCTTTGAGACGTCTCAACGATGTGTTAAGGCGCTATATCAAATGCAAGGATTAATTAGTATATACTGCTATGGATAGAATTAGCTTTTAACCATATGACTATTATATGACAGTGGGAAGGGGTGGGGGAGGGTCTAACTTGCGATATTTCTTAACGGTATTTCTGATTCCATTGGCCTCCACTCCAGGGGTATGCAGGAATCCCATTCCTAAATGGTGCAAATTGGACTCCAATATTATCTCACAACAACGGTACCTCCCTCTGTAAAAAATGTCATTGACGACAGTGATGATCCTCTGTGCAATAATATCCTGGCATCTTTCACATCTGGAGGATGTCTCAAAGCACTTCACAGGATATAATTACAACAATTTGTATTTATATAGCGTCCCTCATGCGGGGTAGTGTCCCAGAGCGCTTGATATACTGTAAAGTACAGTGACTGTGTAGTTGTGCACAGGAATGTCCCATGAACAGCTATTAAGTGAACGGACAATTTTATCTGAGGGTTGTTGGTCAGGACTCCAGGATAGACTCCCTTCTCTTTTCAAGTAGTGCCATGGGACCATTAACCTCCACCTGAACAAGACAACGTCTCATCTGAAGGACAGCACCTCCAACAATGCAACGCTCCCTCCCCAAACACTGGTTCGGAGTCTCAGCTTACGCAGTGTGGACATGGGGGCTTGAACCCACAAGCTTCCGACTCAGAGGTGAGAGAGTTTACCGACTAAGTCAGGCCGACCCAGGGCTGAAGAGGACCTAGCAGAAAGTAGCAATAAATTTGGAGCGCTGATCCACAAAGCAATCGCAAACTGGATCCAGGCCTTTAAAAACACAGCACATGTGCGGCAGTAAATCAGCCTATGATCACCAGCTGGGAGGCTGCGTTCAAAGGGCTCGCATAGAATCTGCTGAAGGAAATGAGTCACGTCAGAGTCCTTGCTGCTTAAAAACAGAATAAATACACTGCTCCCCACGAGGTCACAATGAAGTAATTATGGGAAAGCTAATTCCCTCCAAATGGGAAATGTCTGTGAGATTACTCACGTAACTAAGACCCGACTCTGAGACACTCCCAAATGTCCTTCACCCTCTCCTCCCAAAACATATACTACCACTTGGCTCTTTCCTGAGCAACTGTCAGGGAGCAGAGAACCGTTCCTGAAAGTCTGGGAACGCCGTCTCCCTGGCGACTGCTTTGCAGCTGCTCTTTACAAAGGAAAGGGAGAAAAAAAACTCAAAGTAACTTTCTTTCAAAGCCTGGAAAAGGGGTTGGGGGGGGGGGGTAGGGGGAGGGAAGGGGAGGGGAGAAGAGTGGGGGAGACAACAGAGTGGAGCTGTTCTGCCTCTCTCCAGATGCCTGCCCGCGTTCCATTTACATCGGATTTGCTGACGATGAACTTGGAGTTTTGTTGTCCGACGTAAAAAGCCAGCTGGAGAGAAATAAATTCCTGACTTGCCTGTGGAGTGCGGAGGAAATGCCGTTTCCCACTAATGTCGGGTGAAAGAAAACATGGGTTCAGTCTATGTGTGTGCGTGTGTGTATGGGTGTGGGAGGCAAGAGGCTGAGCAGCAGAGAGCGGAGTAGACTGACTGACTGACTACTACCATGTCAGACTGTTACACCGTGCAGTTTGCTGTAAACATCCATCACCTATGAAGAATGAGACTCTTGGGGGTTATTGTTCTGCTGACAGAGCTTTGGGCTGCAGGTAAGATGTGTCCATCTCTCTCTCTCTCTCTGGGCAGACTGCTCTGTCGGTGTAAACCTTCCAGCTTTTCACTGAGAAAACAGGATGTTATCTTTCCAGCCAACCACACAAAATCCAAAACACTGCCTAGATGCTAGACTGGAACTGGCGTGCGAGACGGAGGATGCTTATAACACAGCCAGTGCTTTCGGCTAAAGGAGGATTGCTGTTTTAGACTTATTGGCAGTATTTTAAAGATTTAACTGAACCAATTGACTCAGTCAGTCTTATTGACTAGAAACCTTAGACATGTTTCTTTGCTCCACACGCCTCTGATTACCTTGCAATCAGTATAAACCCGGTTGTTAGTCGATTTGGCAGATTGCTTTCCTGGGGTAATAGGACCTAAAAAAATTACTTTTTACTGGTTACTGGTTTCTTAATCCACGACTGTTTGTGAGACGCTGCTGTGCGCAATTGGCTATCGAGCTTCTGCCACAAAAGTCAATTCACTTTACAATATATTCTGTAAAGCGCTTTGAGATGTCTCAACTTTGTGATAAGGCACTATATCAAATGCAATAATTATTATTGTTATTATTGTATTATTATTGTTTGTTTCTTGTCCTATTTCTGTGCCTTACATCCCTGACAAGTCAGACCGGCTGAGTCTCGCCTCTGTTGTGTGTTTGAGTTCACTCGTCGGTGCTTTGAACTCAGTCAGGCTGATGCTCCAATATAGCGCTGGGGGAGTGCTCCATTGTCGCACTGCCATCCTCCCAACGAGATGTTTTCTTCTATAAAACATGCAACATAAAGTTTGTTGGTTAGTGTGTCAGACCCCAGCCTGAGGTACAAATGGCTCTGGCTCACAGCAACGTGACCTCGGTACCGTAATGTGCTGATCACTTCAACTCTTTGCATTACCTCAATGACAACTTCCATCAGCCCATTGACCTGGTGGACTAGCTCAAAGCTCTAAAGCCAACTTGCCTAATCGCACAGACCTGCTCCCTTCATCACATTTGTAAATTCATTTTACAAGGCAAGGTAATTATGTCTTCATTTAACGCCACACAGTTCACTATTGTTCACCTGCAAAACATTGGGACATTGCTGTGCACAAATTGGCTGCAAAGTTCACCCACAAAATACACAGTGAATCCTGTCAAGTGCTTTGAGAAGTCCTCCCAATGTGAAAAGTGCTGTATCAAATACAAGAATTATTGAAGTATTTTGTCCTGTACACGTGCCATCATAGAAACTTTCCAACTCAGCAAGAGATCTTTTGGCCCATCATGTCTATGCTGTTCCTCGCGTTGCACTGGAGCTTTCTGCTCTAAGTCCAATCTCTTGGTCTTTCCTATACTTTAATTACCTTTTCCTCAAGTGTTCATTCAAATAATATCAACAACAAACAGCTACAAAGTGAATGAACAATTTGTTAGCCAGTACACCGGGAGAAACTCCTTTCTCTTTTCCAATAGTGCCATGGCAAATTCAAAGTCCACATGAACAGGCAGATGGGATCTCGGTTCTTACGTCCAATCTGAAGGATGGTACCTCCAACAAATTCAGCGCTTTCCCCAGCACTGTATTGGAGTGTCAGTCTGGTCTGTTTTACGTGAGTTCAAAGTCCTGCTTAAACCCACAGGCATCTGACTCGGAGGCGAGAGAGTTACCCACGGTGCAAGGCTGACATATAAAAGCTGTCATGGAGACCAACCAGGTTGGGTAGAGCATTCCACATTACACCCACTGTATGAATATTTATAGAGGCAGATTTGGCTGCTGCGTTTGCCCTCAAAACAATATTCACCTAAGTTCCAATCAATTTTATCTCTCAATCAAAATAAATAGATGTCTCAAAGTGATTCACAGGATATGGCAAAACACCAACAAATATAAAAGGCTTTAATGCTGTTATATCCTTCTTATAGTCTGGGACTTTGGACCTCCTTCTGACGTGAAAGGCGCTATACAAATTTTAGACTTCATGTTGAAGTGAAAGGTGTCGATGTGAGCTGCTGAGTTGACAACAGAACCTTGAAGTTGGTTAGCTCGGGAATTTCGATGTTGTTGGCAACTTATTTCCCGGACGACTGTTACTGAGCATCTATCTCCCAGCTTCAGCCTCCTGGCTTTGGTACTCAGTCTGTCCAGGGATTGTTACTCGAAACTAAACCCGGCTGTTGCATCTGGAACCTGCCATTTACGTAGCCGTGGGATTGAGTGACCAAATTTTATTTATTTATTTTTTGGGGGGAGGGAATATAATAGATAAATAGAGGTGTGTAGAGGAAGAAAACTTGCCTAAGGTTTTGCTTCGCCTGGGAATCGAGCCCATTTGCTGAGCTAGTGGCCACAGGAGGCTGAATCGTTTGGTCAGCAGCGAGATCCAGTCTCACAGCAAGCGACTGAGTGCACGCTTTTGAAAATGTTTTATAACAATAATAATATTGCTTGCTTTTGATGAAGTGCCTTTTACTTCGGATGCCTCAAGGCGCTTTACAGGATATACTGGAAAGTGCGGTAACTGTTTATTTTGCAGGCGAACCACGGCAGCCAATTTTGCGTACAGCAAAGTCCCACAAACAGGACACAGAGGATGGTTCTTTTAGCCGAGCCACAACTAGCATCATGTAAAAACACAGTCCTGCACAAAGGCCATTGTATCAATTGCCATAAAGTGGACAATGCCTTGTGGCTGGATTTGTCTAGCTATGTTGGTTGCCCCTATTCTTAGCCTGCAAGGCTGTCTTGCCTTAAAGGTTCAGATTGCACAGCACTGAGAAAGACGTTCAAATCCAGTCTTAATTTAGAAGCCGGTTTGTTTTTAATAACTGTGGGATTTAGTATAAATTGAAACAACTTGCCTCAATTCTTCATGATCTGACATTTTTGGTCCATAATACTAATTACTGTTAATAAGCCAGCAACAACCAGGTACCCTGTGGAAATCTGAGAAAATAATAATAATAATCATCCTTGCATTTGATATAGTGCCTTATCACATCTTTGAGACAACTCAAAGCACTTCACAGAATATACTGTGAACTGAATTGACTGTTTTGTGGGCTAAACGTGGCAACCTATGTCCCACAGACCGTCGTGGATTGAGAAAAGGCTAACATTAGGTGAATTTTGGACCTAGTAACTATGAATCTGTACTTGAAACAACTGGGGTCTAACTTTCTATCTGGTTTCCTAAGAAAGAGTCTGAGTGGAGATCTTTTGAGTAAGCCTTTAATGCTGTTATACACTTTTTATACTGTGATTGCATTTAAATTGCGCCTTGCACATTGGGATGTCCTGCCAATGTGAAAGGCGGAACTTAAATGCAATTTGTGGTTGTTGTTAGAGACCAGTATTGTGTCCAATTCTGGTCTCCACATTATAAGAAGGATATAACAGCAATGGAAAGAGTTCAGCATGGATTTACCAAGATGATACCAGGGTTGGTAGGTCACTGCTATCAGGATAACTGGATAGGTTAGGCCGTTGTTTTTGCTGGAGAAGAGACATTTGAGAGCAAGAGTAACTACTTGAAACGAATAAAATTATGAAAGTTTGGCAAGGTTAACACAAATAGGCTGTTTCCACTGGCTGAAGAGTCTGTAACCAGGGGACACAAATATAGAAGAGCAACTAGGTGATCAAAAAGAGAATTTAGGAGGAATTACTTCATGCAAAGGGTAGTGAGATACATGTTTCTCCGGTCGCACTCCCCGGATAAGGTGAGCAGGGTGCGTACCTCTGGGGAGACAGCACCAGGCAAGAGAAAACCACGGACATGTGGACGGCTCGGTTGTTTAGTTGGGAGACTCTCATGGTGACGGATTTCCACATGTGCCAGATATCTGGCTTAAAAAAAATAGCCTCTGGCTCCTTGCTTTGTTGGCTGTGTCTGAAGTGAACAGTGTAGAGTCAGTGCAGGAGTAATTAGCTGCTTTGATCTGATTATAGTGTAATCAGACTATAATCAGAGCAAACCATAAACTATAATCAGAGCGGACTATAAATAGAATACAACAGAATTCATGGGATGTAATTCTTTACAACCCACAAATTCTATTGTGTTTTATTTATAGACCAGTATTTTCTCACTGACTTTCTCGCATTTCCCGTCTCTGTGTATATCTTGAACATCCATACGAACAGGCAGACAGGTACCTAAGTTTTAACATCTCCCCCGAAGGACAGTGTGACTTTCCCCCCAGCACTGCACTGAAGCGTCAGTCTAAACAATATGAGTTCAAAGTCCCGATGGAACTGGAACCCACAATCTTCTGACTCAAAGGGGAACGCGCTACCAACTGTGGGAGCCAGGCTGACTGGCAGTAGATGGCCAGAAGTGTCTTTGTGCCTTCGCATCAAGATAATGGGGATGAGAAACAAGTTAGAAGAGAAGGGGGGGAAAAAAAGACAGCATAAAAGATAGCCCGCGAGTTGGTTCTCCCCGCTGTAACTTAGTTGCTCTCACAGAGGTAAAAACAGCTACTGGGATTTATAATTTGAAACAAAGTCTATGTTTACAAACGATTTTGATAACTAACAATCAACTCTGATCGTACAGGGCACTGATAGGCAATACTGGATAACTAAACACAGGAGTTTCGTGGTTTTCTGAGGCCAGACATTCCTGCCCTGCCTTTCCCTAACCACAGTCCAACATTTTACAATGACTGCAATCTTTCTCTGATCCTGTCGTCTGCATTTCTAAATATTGCTCGGAGTATATTTCCAGTACTGGGTTGGAGTGTCTGTCTCGACTGTGAGAGCTTGATGGGTCTTCAACCCACAACTTTTTGACCCAGAGCCGAGAGCGCTACCAACTGCCGCCTTCACTGACACTTTCGGCCACTCAGACAACCTCTCTGACAAATAAATAGTTTGGCTTTGTCACAGAGAATCGGAATTTCATCCAATTCAATTTCTCTCTGTCCGTCCTCATTAAGATGAATGACATCAGTACTGGCAAAGCTTTCCTTTTTAACACCTGCTCTATTCCGCTGTAACCTACTTTGTGGAGTCCTGTAGCTTGGTGGTCAGAGTACTCGCCTCGCAAGCGAAAGACCTGGGTTCTATTCCCGACAGGGCGAAATGTTGGGCAAGTTTCCTCACTCACACGCCTGTTTATCTAGTAGCAAGTAGGAACCTGGTTGGCGGATTGCTTTTCTGGGGTTAATAATCCCTCAAAAAACAATAATGATAATAATTTGGTCATTCAATCCACGACTGTTTGTCGGACACTGCTGTGTGCAATTTGCTGCTGTGTTTCTCCCACAAATCTAGTCAATTCACTTTACAGTATAGTCTGTGAAGCGCTTTGAGACATTTAGAAGACATCGCTATCAAATGCAAAGATTATTATTATATAAACTCTGTGCCTCAAGCCAACTCTATGGGGGGAGGAGCGGGGGAAAGCCACAGCTCCCACTGCATCAATTCCATTTCTACCCCGTTTCTATCCCTTATATTTTTTTGAGCTGGACAGCTGATTTAAAGCCAGTTCCACACTGAGGACACATGCACTAAGAAACACTGAGAGACCACCCAACTATCTTAAAGCTGTAACAAGAGAAAATTTGCTTTGAAATCAATCGGCCTGAATCTCACATGATCACAAGATCAGTTCGGATGAAGAAGGCCCTTGGGCCCATTTGACATCACCTTTCCAGACTATCCACTCCACAGTCCACATCAGAACGTCAAGCTATGTAAATAAGTCCAGAGTCCTGGCCTCAACCACCGTTCCTGGCAAATTGAACACAATTTTTAAAGTAGAAAAGGTCTTGTGCCAGTGTGACAAGCAGTCTGCATACTAATAATATTTCTTACATTTAGTATAAAGCCTTTCACGTTCACTAGATGTATTGTAAAAGCGTAGTGTGCGTGTGTGTTTTTTGTGAGTGAACGCGACAGCCAATTTTGCACGCAGCAATGTCCCGCAAACAGCCGTGAAGTGATATCCGTTTAAGTTTCGGGGTTACATTTCTCCAATTAATGATTTTGCCAAACTACGAGTGAAATCTTAATTATTATCACATGTCACGCCTACAACTGACTCCATTCACCCTCCAGTGAGTGGCTCTCACAACAAAACAAGAGCTTTGAAAATAATTTGAAGCATACACTCGCCCACAACATTCAGCTGAAAATACAGCACGGGTTTTCTCATTAGATGGAAGAAAGTAATAAATAAAAGCTGCATCTCATGCTGTCATACTCAAGGAATGCAAATACAGAATGCAGAAAGGTTAAATCATTTGCACTTTAAATATAGAACAGGCTTTGCAACTTCAACTTATTCTGTCACGTAAGATATGCAGAACATTTTCTATAAACCTGTAGCACTAAATATAAAACGACAATTAGAGGACTGTATTTTTTTGGTCAGCCAGAGTTGTCTGTCACGTGCAGAAACCCATCACTGTGCTTGAGTGTATCCAAACCAGACTGAATAGCGCTGGGGTGTGAGGTTACACTATGCTTCGCCCCACAAAATATCCAGTCAACTCGCTCTTCAGTGTATTCTGTGAAGCGCTCCGAGACCTCTCGAAGACGTGATAAGGCGCCATATCAAAGGCGGGGATAATAATGTGAGTTCAAACTTCTGACGCGATTCTTGAACTCACCTTTCAGGGAGCTTCGCTAACCATTCCTCGCGGCGATAAAAACTGAACGCGAAATCTCTTAGCAAACCTGTGCGTTTTATCAAATTCATCCACACCTGAACACAGTATTGAGCTTGTTTGGCATTTCTCTCTCCCTCTCTCTCTCAGACATAGGTCAGGCCCTGAAAGTGGTGGTCACGCCCGGGCCAGCAGTGGAATTCACCGTGGGGGAGCGCGGCGCTCTCTTCTGTCGCATATCTCAGGCCCGGAGGAAGAACGGCCGCCTGGCTCTGGTCTGGCTTTACTCCAACTCCTTCCTCGATGGTCAGAGAATCCTGAGACTGAACCGCACAGGCCATGTGCAGACCTACACGAGCTGCAGAGCTAGTCGCTGCGACCTGCAGTCTTACGAGCAGGGCTCGGTCAAGGTTTACGTATTGATCCTCAAGAACGTCAGCAAAAGCGACGAAGGACACTACCGGTGCCGAGTCCAAGAAATTGCCAACCTCAATAAGAAGTGGGTGTCGATATCTAACGGAAACAGCACAACCGAGGTGAAAGGTAAGAGGTTGCTTCACATTGACCGACCGCTGCAATCCGATGTTCACATTCGAGCTCTCCACGAAACTCAATTGAACCGTCGTGTAGCTGCAGCGAAAAGGTATATCTAAACTATAAACTGTTCTCGGGGTTTCTTGCCTCCCTTAGTTCTGCAGTAATAGCGAGAAGAAATTAAGATTTTTTTTGTGGGGGGTGGGTTTCTCATCCACTGCACTAACCACACTCCTGCCTCTACTTCCGCACCACTCTCCGCTCGGCTAACGCAGACCTTCTGCACGCCTCCCGCTCCCTCTGGGCTACCATCGATGGCCCAGCCTTGAACTACCACACTTTGAACCTCTGGAACTCCCTCCCTCTACCCCTCATCTTACCTCTCTTTATCTATCTTTAAATTAAACCTTAAAACCTGCCTGATTCACTTTCGGTTATGTTCCCCCTCCTCACCCTACCCCCACCCAGGCAGAATTGTCAGGCGCTTTGGGATGTCCGTCTGATGATAAAGGAGCTATACAAGTGTACACTGTAATGTACTGACAATGGTCATCTCCCTCTTCACTTGCCTTTTGCTCAATGTTCAATACTTTGTCCGTTATTGTGAAGCGCTACGAGATATTCACTTACGTGAAGGATAATAAGCAAAAAGACAATTTGATGTTTGCACGCAGAAGAAGGGAATAGAGGGGAACAGGTGAAGGGCATAAGAGGGGTGCAGGGTATGTAATTATGAAGGGGGCGATATAAAAGCAAGTTGTTGTTGTACTTAGCAGGAATTGTCACCCACATGTCGTGCAGTGTATACAGGATTAAGTAAATGAATGTCCCCGACAGAAAACAATTTTTTAAGCTTCTACTTGTATTAAATTAATATGGAGACACACAAACTGTGGCTCAAATAACCTCCTGTGGCTCGAGTAACCTCACACAGGCCTTAAGACCACTGTCTGAAAAGTTGCAATCGTGCATAATTTCCGCTACAAAATGCACAGTCACTACACTTTACAGTAAAATCAAGTCTTCCCGACGTGAAAGACGCTATGACAAATGCAAGGGTTATTTTACTTGTTACAATTTGAAGGCTGATTTTTTCAAAAATTCAGCATGACCTCAATGAGATTAGTTTTATAACGACTGAGGTCATGAGAAATTTTAGGCCTCAGATATCCTACAAAAGATTTTCTCACAACTCTCTTCCTTCCTCAGTCAACTATCCACACAGCCCTCCCACCCTACAAATAGTTTCTTTACTTTCTATTGATAAAGGAGAAATTGTGGGTGGGACATTATTTTCCTTGTGGCTTGACAAAGTAGTCAAAGCAATAATAATAATTAATGAGAATAATCCTTGCATTTGATATAGCACCTTATCAGATCATCACAAAAGTGCTTCATAGGATATGACTGCGTTTTGTGGAAGAAATGTTATTTAAGGAACACTGGCCAGAAACCACTGCATTTTGAACCCTTATTGTGTGCAAGTTGGCTTCCCACGAATTCACAGACACTACACTTTACAGAATATCCTATGAAGCACTTAGAGATGTTTCACTGCACCTCTGATAATACAGCACTCCCCCAGCACTTAACTGTAAACTTCTGACTCAGAGGCGTAAAGTGCTAACGACTGAGCCAGGCTGACACCCATCCACATCTTATCTGAAACCAGCAATACGATTCTCTGTTGGAGGTTTGTGAGGTCGCAATGACAGTGCGAATTGTGACACTGAATCCAAGCCCAATGGCAAGAGAGGAAGATAACTGTATAAATGGCACTTTATGTGATAAATATTTCAAGGCACTAAAAAAAGCTGCAGAAATGTTAAAACCTTTAAGGTACGATTGATTAGCTAATGGACTATTGCACTGTATTGGCAAATTGAGGACAGAGTCAGAGACAGAGCTAATCTTTGGCTTCATCCCTCAATTGTTCAGCCGATGCTTAATTTGGCAAAGAATGCGCCATTGTCTCCAATATTGCTATAGATTTTTCTAAGGGATAATGTATTTAAATTAAGGCTAATATTAATGTTACTGTGGATATTTCGCACAACACAAGACATAGAGCAGTCACATTTTTCAGATCCTGGTCTCAGGGCTGTGGAACGTGAGGTTTACGTAACCCTTTATTCTGTTTGTAGAATTAAAATAGTTTGTCTATTGATCAACTGGCATTGAGTCAGAAGGCTGTGAGTTCAAGCCCCATGTTGGGACTCAAAGCTCACTGTCTAGACTGATACTTCAATGTACTTCTGATCAGATGTTAAGCCAAGTTCATATGGACGTTAAAAATGCCGTGGCACGACTTGAAAAGCGAAGGGAGTTTCTCCCTTCTCTTACCCTGGCCAACAATTTCCAATCACATCAGGACTTTTCGTGGGACATTGCTGATTGCAAATTGGCTGCCGCATCCACCTGCAAAACACACAGTCACTACGCTTTACAGTAAAGCCTGTGAAGTGGTTTGGGGCTTCTCTGGTTCTCCGCAATGGGACTCTACATAGGGATTCCAATTTAAAAAGTGATGCCATCAGAGTGGATGCACTTCCCTTTTCCTTATTGAGGAAATACCAGTTACAAACCACTGCACATTGAATCTCGTTGCATCGCAAACAAATATGTGCTAAAAGCTTTGTTCACCTTCAATTTCGTCTAAACTTGCATACCACGTGGTAAGATTTACAAAAAAGGTACAGCTTGGAAACAGGCCGCTCAGCCCTAGATTCCATGCTGGTGTTTCCACAAGAGTCTTCACCCAGTCCTTACTCTCTCCCAAACCCTTCAATTCCCCTCTCCCTCATTTGAATGTCCAGCTTCCTCTTGAATACATCTCTACTATCTGATTGCACAGCGAGTTCCACAATCTACTACTAAGAGAATAGCAAATGGGTTTACAGCATCCTCCGTAAATCCCTGCTTTGATTTCCTTTCGCACCCTCTTAAAAACAAGAGCAGAGTCCGAGTGCACACGTCAACTGTGTTCACATTGCGAGGAGGGAAAAGTCTCATTTACACAGCTCTGCGTACAGAGCGGAAAAAAGGTGAGACACAATTTCAGAGATAGGCGTGCACTCGCAAGCACACAAACACACACACACAAACACACAGAACTTGGCACATGTGAAAAGCTCCTATATCCAGTGATTCATTTGTTATTAAAGAGACCAGTTACATGAGCTGATCCTTGCTAACATTAACGACCAGTCCCTTGGAATGTACTTGGGCCGTCCATTGGATCTCCTCGCAGCTGCCAATAGACCACAGAGGGAGGGAAGCCAGATGCACATTTACAGTACAGGGCTTAACCCCAATTTATACTGCACGTCTGGCAGTGAAACATCGCCAGGTATTACTCACCGATGAAGCTGATTAGGATTTGTTGCTGTTTGAAACAGTAGCCGCTGAGTTTTTTTTCGGTGTCTGGTGCTCAGAAGCCCATCGCTGTGCTCCAATGCATCCAAACCAAACTGCAAATTTCCCCGTGTCTGGAATGGAATTCACACTCTCTAATCCCAGAAACGATTAGGCTTGGGAACCTCAGAGCGTGCCTTGGGGAAACTGGTGGAGATTAACCAGTTAAAACCACGCAGCATGCCATTGGGAACACTGTTTGGGTAAGTGCCCCTCCTGCTGCTTATTCTGTCCAGGGAGGACCACTCTACTTGACAGGGCCATGGCTTGCAGAGCAGTGACTGAAATAACTCTTTGTTTCACCCTCCCCAACAGTGCGGCTGCCTCAAACCACAATTGTGCCCACCTCAGAGAGGACGAGTGAGACGTGGACAGTCCCTGAAGGTAAAGTCCCATAGCGTGCCGGTTAGCGCTCTCACCTCACAAGCGAGAGGACCCGGGTTCGATTCTCGGGCGGGGCAAAACCTTAGGCAAGTTTCTTTACTTCGCACGCAGCTGTTTAACTAGCAGTAAGTAGAAACCCAGTTGTTAGTCAATTGGCGGATCGCTTTCAGGGTATAAAAATCCATCCTGTTTGTGGAACACTGGACCTCAGATTAAATCACAGTCCAGGGAATCTGCGAGTAGCCATTCGGAAAAAAAGCATCCGACACAAATCGTTTATAACAAAAATCCTTATTTTGGGTCGAAGAAGGCGAGCAACAAAAACAGAAATAGGCAACTTGTAAAACGACAGAACAATGATTTCTATGGACCAGGCGGGAGTTCTGATCTGATAGCTGAAGGATCAACATTTCCCACACAAGTGGTTTGCTCTCCCGCTCGGTCTTCCCCCGCTGAAATGTAAGGCCTGATGTTATCGTCAATGACTGCTTTGTAAATGTAGAGAATCCTGCTTAGAAAGGGTATCAATCAGTGACTTCAAGGGCTGTGGCGAGCTGCCAATTTGTCACAGCCTCTGTGATAGCAACACTCGGGAGCGCTCTGCAGAGCATTTCAATTCAATTCAGGGGAACGGCACAAGTCAAAGAGACTCGAGAACTGGAATCAAATTTGAACACTTTAACACAAAGGTTTGGAATAGAGTTTTAAAAAATATAAATGAACATTTAAATCCCAAAACATTGGAAATGTGAAATGCCTACAAGATGCGCAGTCACTGCATTTCACAGTAAAACCCTGTGAAGCGCTTTGAGACTTCGTCCCGACCTGAAAGGCGCTATTTCAGATGCAAGGATTTGTTTTCTCCGTGAAATGTAAATGCAATGACACAACCGAACATCTGCACTGAAATATTAAGAGCCGAGTATATAGAAAACAATAAACTAACAGCAGTTGTTAACAATTGCAGATTTTGACCTGGAAACATCAACCGTGCTGATTTCCAGGAATCCTAAGGAACCATGGACGGTATATGGAGGTAAAGCTCTTCCTCATTCCAGACGGACTCTTTGCTTTCAAGTTGGGGGCTGACGGTTGATGACTTGCAATCTGCATCGGAAATAGCGACTCTCAAAGGGATCTGGAGTTGTGCCATCTCCTTCCCAGGAGCTTGTTGGAACAGTGTTCCCGAAAGTCGGCATTGACTGAGTTTTCCGGTTAGCGTCAAGAGTTGCTATTTGTGTTAAAAGATGTTCAGTAAAGTTGCTCTCAAGAGTAGCAGAAAAGATGTCAAATAGATTGCAGATATAGAGCCTATTGACCAAGCTTCCTTCCTGTCATACGTCTGGGACTGTGATCATTTCAAGCATTCCCAATTCTTTCAATTTTGAGTTGGAAAAACCAGCCTAGTCCCAATGTCCTTATGCCCACAATCTAGGAAGACAAATTCAGTCACAAGATCGGTTTGGATGAATGAGGCCCTTCGGCCCATCTGATCCTTCCAGAATACCCCCCTACCATCATCCCACACAGCACCAAGCTGCTTCTTAATGAGTCCAGTGTCCAGCCTCAAACACTCTCCTGGTAAATCATTCAAGGTGTGAATCACCATTTCTGCATTAAAGGAACAGGCCTTACGCCCAGCAATCTGGGCCAACAAACCCCCAGATAAAATTGGTCATTCACTTCATGGCGGTACATGGGACATTGCTGCGGGTAAACTGCTTGCTGTGTTCACCTACAAGACACACAGTCACTACACTTGACAGTAAATCCTGTGAATGCTTTGAGACGTCCTCTAGACGCGAAAGGCACTGTATGAAATTGGAGGATTATTCTGATACCTGATCTATTTTAAAAAAGAACATTTCCTTCTCCTTTTATTCAGTGCAGTTTGCAAGCGGTTTCACCAACCCAGAGCAATACGCTCATCCTTAACACACATCCTTTATTCATTCTTTATTGCCTGGGCACCAGAGAGCCATTACACTGTTTGCAGCTTGCCATACCTCACATTAGATTTTCGCACCAAACCCACCATCCTGTGTAAATCTACACTGGGCAAAGCTGCAATAAAGAGTTGATTATCACATTATACGCAAAACTTCAATCTAACCTCATTATGAAACAAAATATCGCAAGATTGCACGGAGACTCAAGAGGATCGTTCCAGCTTCCGCTAACTGAATACATTTTCATTGCTAAAGCGGTTTGTCTACTTAAGGATTACTGACTGTGTTTGTGGCACACTCAATCTGTTCTTGAAATTGACCAGCATTTGCATCTCATTCACAGACGTGTATCTTTACTCCGTGCTAGTTTGCTCTCTGGGGATCGTGTCGGTGATCCTTTTTGCGGCTGTGATCGCTTGCCAAACTCTGAGAAACAGAAAGAAAGCAAGAGGTGATCGTCAAACACACCGAGAGGCCAACCCGCCCGTACCGTCTGACTGACTCTGCTTCACTTTGTCCAAACGCATCTTAATTTATTTTTGCTTTGCCTTCTTTTCCCTTTCTAACAGCTAGACACTATTTGATGAAAGGACCTAATAGCAGGTATGCTCCTCTAACTTTAATGGATTCATTCTTTCAAAAGCTGCAGCATCCTACTTTAGGATGCACCAAGACAACTGTGGGACACACTGAGACTGTTGGACTAAGATGAACCGGGTTTAGAGTTGGCAAAAGGCAATCTCAGGACAGACACCAGGACGTTTATCTTTACACAGAGGACTGAAACAGGTTGCCAAGCAGCAGGCTTGAAGCCAGGACACTGGGACTCAAGCAGCTTGATGCAGTGATGGGAGCACGGTTGGGTGGGTGTTCTGGAAGAGTGAGATTCGATGCATCTGAACCGATTTTGCGGTCTTGTGAATGTGTCCGTAATTTGGACTCATTTGATCTCTGGTCAGACCGGGAGCTTGACTTGCTATCCGCGTTGACAGGGAAAACTGTGGTGGTGGGGCGGGGGAGAGGAAAGATGGAGAGAGGAGAGATGGCGAGGGAAGATGTCTGAAGAGGAACGGTGGGGAAAGAACAGGGGAAGTGAAGAGAAGAGAGGTGGGAAGAGGAGAAAATTAGAAGCAAAAACAAATTAGAATAAATAAAACCATGTCCGGCTCCAAGCAAACTGTTCCTTCTCAATGACATATTGGAAAGGAAAAAAAAAATCACCGAATGGGAAATGGATTAAGAGGTCTCTTTCCTTTTTAAATGCAGCTCAGGCGAAACAGTGATGAGTGTGCGAAGCACCTCTGCACTGCAACCCAAAAAGGATAAAAAGACAACAGGCACAGAGGAGCTGCCTCCACCGATCCCTGTTAAAAGTAGGTCCCACTCGATGGCGGGATTGGGCTCAAGGATAAAGTGTCGCGTTACACTGACTGCAAAAATCGCAAGGAAGCTGTCTCAAAGTGCTTCCCGGGAATTACTTTATTTCTGTGTATGTTGGAGACAAACCCAAAGTATAAAGGAAGGGATAAATCGACTTTGTGCCATCAAACTCAGACACATTTTAATACCGATGAACAGAGCACTGGATGTGTACATGTCTGTCTGTGTGTGTGTATGTGGGGGAGGGGGTCGGGGGTGGAAATGAGAGGGTGGGTTTGTGGTCTGGATATGTACTTGTTTCTAAATGTAAATAGAGCTAAAGGTTCTATGATTTTCCAATCCACATCAATTTCAGCACCAGTCATCAGCAGCCCCGAGTTTGGTCACATCACTGATAGAGAACTGGCTCTCCAAATATCCCTACCCATGCTGGGCAGTTTAATTGGACTGGTGGTTATTCAGTTTTACAATTCTTTTGTTGCCAAGACTATGCACTCTGACAGCGAACTCAGATGAAATACAATTATTTTTCCGCCGGTAATAAAATAATAACCCTTAAATTTGATGCACGCCTATAATAATAATCCTTGCATTTGATATAGCACCATATCACGCCATTCAGACAGCTCAAAGCGCTTCACAGAATATACCGTAAAGTGAATTGACTGCATATTTTGTGGGCGAAACGCGGCAGCCAGTTGCGCATGGCGACATCCCACACCAGTTGAAACCTGTCGACGTGCTTTCCAGTGTATTGAATTGGAGCTGCCTTGCATTTTGCAGGCGAACGCAGCAGCCAAAATTGTCACACAGCGATATCGCACAAACAGCCGTGGAGTGAACTAGCAGTTTATCGGCACTGGCTAAGAGGCAGCCGAAAGCTTGTTCCTTTCCAAAAAGTGAAAGGTTGTTTCACCACCCTGAAGGGCATAGTCAGTCAGTTTTAATCCCGGGCTTGGCAGGACAGCTCCCCTCTGACGTTCAATATGCCACAATTCAATCACGCCGGGGAGAATTTCACAGTGAGGTTCCGTCTCTTTGCTGTCGGGGGATCAGAGCTTGCTCGATTCTTTTGAACAGGTGAAGGTGTCCTTTCAAAAGCAATTCGATTATTGCTCAACTCATCTCACGGCCCCTCGCTGATGCTTACTATTTTCAGCAGAATGTTGCCTTTTACTCAAACTGTCCTGTTTGGGCTGAAAATGACCCGGGCTCCTCCTTGTCAATCAATGGGTTTTCCAGGAAGGGAGATGAAATTGCTGCCCTTTCCAACATTACAGCTCTTCCCGCTTACACAGTTAGCTGTAATGAAGGGGGTACTTAGGATATCAATGAGCATAAGTCTATAAAAGCCATTTGACTGCGGAAGAATTGATTGATGGAGGCTGGTCGCTATTGCTGGCAAATACCTCGCCCTCCCACTGACACAGCTATTAATGAATTAGTGGGAATCTAATTAATGGACCAAAACCATGTGCCGGGTTGTATTTATTTAAGTTGGTCTTTGTGTATTCTTCACAGTCGCTGCACTCTTCCACAACAATAGAACAGGATTCTCTCCCGAAACACAGACCAGCCAAATAAAGGGATCTGTGGCCACTAAATTGATGGGAGTTTATAAATAACACTAAGCCCTGGTATGCAGTACAGCAGCTTTCACATCAGGACGTCTCAAAGCGTTTCCCATTGATTTGCTGTGCGCAAATTGGTTGCCGTGTTGACCTACAAAATACACAGTCACAAGACATTACAGTAAATCCTGTGAAGCCAAATGTGAAAAATGCTGTGTCAAAGGCAAGGATTACTGTCATTATAATTATTTTATCACAGTTTAAATCACTCTGTAGTGGTAATTTCTAAGCGGTTTTCAGTGACGGTCAGACAAACAAAAAACACTGCCACGTTCCTTTTCTTAGTACGTTTGAGCTTCCTAAAATAGCTACTTTCTGCAGGAGGTTGGTATTTGGTTCACCAGGTTTTTTGTCAAGCCATTTCTGAATATTGTTATTGTAATTATTATTTAGTTGCCTTTATAATCATGGGCTTAAAGCTGGGAGTATTTCTGTCCTCACCCAACATAGCACCACATGTGGCCTTAGTCACCGTAGTCCAGGGTGAGTTAAACCAGTTTGTTTCCTACTCCCTGCTGGTGAGGTCTGCCTTGGGAGGGCTGGGGCGATGGGTGTGTGGCCAGGAGTTTGATATGCGCCAGGATGCGGGTGGCAAAGGTTTGGATGAAGTCTAAGCAGGATGTAACGAAGGTGTGAGTGAGCGTTTCAATGGCAATAGGCAGAGAAAATTGGGGATGAACACAGCAAAAATTCAGCACCGGTGGGGAGAAGGATTCTGCCAATATTTAGGCTTGTTTATTGTAAGCTGGATATCTTCACCCCCCGCCGCATCTTTGCCTACAAAAACAATGCAGTCCCTACAGTTCACAGTCATGACTCAAGTGCTTTGAGATTTTTTTTATGATCTTAAAAAAAACTATGTCAAATGCAAGAGTTAATTCATTAACAACATAAAGTTATAATGAATTGTAAATCTGAATATGTCTGACTTCACCATTATCTGTCTGCAAGAAAACAAGTCATGGTGATTAAATAATAACTAGTCTAAAGCACTTCGATGTATAAGGCACTACAAAAATGCAAAACCTTTCTATAAAAAATAGAGTCTGTAGCAGACCAACTGTAGGATCAGTCTGTGTGAGACACTGTTACGAAGGGAATTTAACAATAGGGTCAGCAGTCAACGCAGTATAAGTAATACCATTGGAATCTCGCAGCTGGTGTCCTTCAGCTTGTTGTTAAGATATTGCAGCGCCACATACAGCCTCAGTCCCTTCAAGATCGATGTGTCCTGACCACCCTCTTGTTCTGTATTCCAGTACCTACCAGAGACGTTTCCAGCAAAAGAAAACTTTGGAAAAGGCAGGAGGGTAAATCCATAATGGTAAGCAGTTTCTCATCGCTTCTTCAATTGGTTGTTTCTGAATAAGTTGAATTCAGTGAAGTAGCGGTGCAATAGGGCGACACAAGGTTCTTGCACTGCATATGTGTATTTTTGCAATATGGTACAGATTTACATTTAAACAGGGCTTTTCACGTCGCGAGGATGTCCTGAGGTGCTTAACAATAATGGGTTGGCACCTGAGCTGAGTGTGGGAGCTGAGGGTAGTGGCAAAGGGAAAGAGATCTTAAACGAGGTGAGGGAGGGAGAGAGCCAGTCGGAGGGAGTCCGGGATGGAAACCCAAAGAGTGGTAGCTTTCAAGAAGAAGGCAATCAAGTGGCGTCAAGATATTAAGAGGTACGGCAAACGGCCAAGGGGGCAGGCTGGGCATTAGGATTAGATCTGCCAAGATCCAAGAAAGTAGTGGAACAGGTTCAACGGGTCACCTCTTCCTGATGCCCTATTCAAAAGGTTCATTCAATGGCTGTTTGTGGGAAAGTGCAGCCCACAAACTGACGGCTGCTTTCACCCACAAAATACACACAGTCACATCACTTTACAGTAAACCCCACTAAGCGCTTTGCGGCACCTTGATGACGCGCTAAGGCGTCACGTCAAAAGCAAGTGTGGTTACTAAAAGGTTCGGGGACAGAGCAGGGAATGGGATGAGTACAATAATAATCCTTACATTCAGTATAGAGCCTTTTCATGTCAGAAGGACGTCTCAAAGCGCTTCACGATTAAATGAGGTATCTGTCCATTTGTAGGAAAACCCGGTAGCACATTTGCGCACAGCAATGTTCCACAAACAGCCATGAAATGAATGACCAATTTTATTGGGGGATTGTTGGCCAGGACACCAATGGAGACTCCCTTCTCTTTTCGAATAGTGCTGTGGGTTCTTTAACGTCTGCCTGAGCAGGCACAGATGGGACCTCGGGGGATAACTGGTGCCGGTTTAAGCTCAATGGGTCGAACCTCCTCCGACTACGCTGCAAATTCTATTATTGTAGTTGGGATTAAATGCCGAGTGGCTGGAATTAAAAGGTTGCCTTCTTAACTCCGATTACTTTATCTTTGGGGGATACTGTCACGTTTGCTATCATTTCAGCTTGGAAATCTAAAACCAGTATCTTATTTTTTTTATTATAATCTACACAAGTCTTTGAAATCTCCGAGGTGCTATTCAGGTGATAGAAAGCAGCGACTGAGGCATATATATCCTGTGTGAGGAGACCTGAATCTTCCGCAAGGCAGCCCGATTCATATTAATTCCACAAATCTCTTCCACGAAGCTACACTTTAACTGCTCCCTTTTATTGCGCATCTAAAAGCAAAGACCTTTGATGGAGACAAATGGCCTTGCGTTTGAATCTGCCATCTTCTACACCACCGTTCGTATCTTTAATGCGCCCTTAAAAATATTTACCTCTTCCTTCCGTGGCCTATACACATATATTTATATTCGTAATAATGTCAAAGTACCATAGACAAGCAATAAGCATAGAAAAATCATGTTGTGTATTTTGTGGCTCCCTATCGTTGCAGGGACAATAGATGTACCTTTTACTGCCGTAGAATTGCTAATTTTATTGCACCTTTATTGCTTTCTTAGATCCAATTATTTATTTAGTGGTCTTTGGCTTTATTGAATTATATTTACCATCAGACCATCATAAAAATGTATGAAAACAGCACATCAACCAAACATGCAGGGTGACCTATATATTGCAGAAAGTAGTATTAGTTTCTCTCTGCGCGTATAATAAAATAAAGCATAAACAGATAATCTACAATAAAACACAATGCAATTTTGCAATAATTCGATAAAACAACTGAAAAATGTGATTTCATAACCCAACGTGCTAAAATTTGCATGAGGTGAACACACTGAGGTTATTTTAAGGGAGGCAGTAATGGACTATAAAAGACTCGGGCGGTGGTGGCAGAATAAAGTGTAATTAAGTGAAAGAGCAGAATTTAAACGCACATTCAGTTTGACTGGAGCAATTCTCTTGGAATAAAAAAAATGTTAACCCTGCACATATCACCAATAGAAAATGGCTCAAATATTACCATTTCTGCTTTGGCAATATGATATTACTGGCTTAACCCATTTACTGCTCCACCGTGTTTAATGAAAAAAACTTTTATTAAGCTTCGAAGTTCAAATGGCTGGGGAGGAATCTTTTAAATTATCCCCCCCCCGCCACCCCCCCTTTGTAATTTGTCTTCTCTCGAATCCCGCTGGCTTGATATCCATTTGGTTGAGAAAAGACGATACAGATGTCAAATTGGGTGGGGGGGTGGGGAAGAAGAGAACGGGGAGGATCCCCATTGAAACAGTGGATAGACACGTGACATCTGGGTTTTGTTTGTTTCAGCACTGTGAGGGTTTAAATTGGGCAAATACTTTAACACAGGTCTGCCCTCCTCCACCGGGCCACTGAGCCCTCAGGCATAACTCCCCTAACTTCTGGAGTTCCCTGCCTCTAATCCCTCTGCCTGACCCCTCTCTATCAGTCTTTAAATCCCACCTTCAAACCTCCCTTTTCGACTCCTGGTCAATCCCCCCCCCACCACCCCCGCTCTCCCTTCCCACTTTCTCGGTCTTCCACCCCGCCACTCTGAAGCACACCGAGACATCACCCTACGTGCACAACAAAATTACGTTTGTGTAGAGCCTTTCGCGTCCCAAGGCTTTGAACTTTGAACTTAATCCTCTGGGGGATGGGGAGCCAGTGGAGCCGGGCGAGGGTGGAGGTGATAAGCTCACAGAGCGCTATATAAATGGGGGGGGGGTTTGGTTGAGAGGTTGCTCGTCTGATGCGGTTTCTCTTTTTCCCTTTAAGCCCCGAATTGCCGAAGACAGTCTAACCTACGCTGAACTGGAGCTGGTCCCCACGCAGCCCGGCAACGCCAGCGCTCAGGCCTCCACCACGGTTTACGCCAAAATATTCTTCTCCAATAACAAAGACCAGCTTAACCCCAGCCAGAAAGCTAACGACAACGAGAAATAATAGCCGAGCCGGCGATACTTAACGAAGACTGAAGCGCATCCTGGTACGTTTTTGTATTACGCAGGTGCCTTCTGACGTCCTGCTTGGGAGAGTTATTTACCAGATATTAAGTCACACATCAGAGACCGACGCGTGGAAGGCTGGACAATGAGTGGTCCTGAGGGGCAGCCATCAGTTTAGCTCCAAACTGAAGGGGCTTCTTCATCTAAATGGCTCTTGTGATATGGGCGGAGTGCCATCTGAAACACCAAGGAACACACACGGGCTCAGTCATTTCACTTGATGTTTGCTGTATCACAGGACCAGTTTGCCCAGTCTGCAGGATACAGACACTGTACAGGAGCAGATTACAGGCACGGACACAGCACCAATCACATGTAAACACTTCTCTTGTACGCAGAATAAACTGTAATTAATGAAAGACTAGCGAGTCAGGCTGTGTAACCAGAGTGGTATAACTCGTGAGAGAGGCCTGCACAACTCATGTGTGAAATAAAAGGTAGGTTGCGTTCAATTTAAGTTGCCACTATCATTCTGTTTCCCCTTTACCTTTCATCCCCTTCCTTCCTCCTCCTTCTCCTGAGGAGATTTTGACTCTTTGCAGTTCCATAGATTACAACACAGAGGCACAGCCAGGCAGCTCAGCTGAGTGCCTGGTGTTGATGCTCCTCGTCCAAATTCACAGGAATTGACCCTCATGGAAGTTGCTGGCACAGATTTGCGGCTGCATATAAAGTACATAAAGTTTCACTTCATTTTTGATCTCACTCTGTCAAGCACTTTGAAGAGTTTCTTTTACATGAAAGGCGCTGTATAATTAAGCTGCGTTGATAGTGTCAGCCTGGGTCAGCTGTGAGTTGGAAGGTTGTGGGTTCAAGCCACTTGTTGGGACTACACAGTCTGGCTTAGCACTCTAGCACTCCCACTGCAACTTATACTTTCTATTGTGCCTTACACATGGGTAATGTCTCGGAGAGTTTGCCGTACTTTGGATAAGGTGTCAAACCAAGGTCCTGTCTGCCTGTTCTGGTGGACTTTAAAGATCCCAGGGTTCTATTCAAATAGGGGAGTTTCTCCTGGTGTCCTGGTCGACAATCCCTCCAGATAAAATTGGTCACCCACTTCATGGCTATTGGTTGGACAATGCTGTGTGAAAATTGGCGGTCGCATTTGCCTACAAAATACGCAGTCGCTTCACTTTGCAGCAAAATCCTGGGAAGCCGTGACAGCCTAATTGGCCAAGTGGAATGAAGCTGAGTTTGATATTTGACATTCCTTTTCAAATCACTGCAGCAGCTAATTTGGAGTCTGGAAGCCCGTTTACAAAGGAACATTATGCCTTAGCTCAAGCCCTGAGCTATGGTTTCTCATATTATCTCTCCGATTGATAGGAGCCAGCGCTATTTACGAAGAGACAATATTGCATTGTGGTATTTTCCACCGCTTTCTGTTTTATAACATTAAAATCCCACGAGAAACTCTTGATATATATATCTATATATATATATATTATAAAGGGCTGGATAAGATAACGCTTACAAAGGGCATGATTGAAACTGAGATGCTTTCAATGAGATCCATTCATTCTGACAAAAATCTCTGAGGAAAAAGCCGTTGAAAATCGCTTTCGTTTGTTGAAACACTGCTTGGGCCCCAAACAGAAAACTGCGCAAAAAAAAAAGCCTGAACGTTAAATAAAATGCAATAAATTCGAGGATGTATTATGCAAAAGAAAAAGACAGTAGTAAAGGGGATTACTGCTGAGAGAACAACTTAGCAGTTTTCTTAATTGTTTATATTCTCCAATCTTTCTGCAATATGAAATTAATAACCTCCTTCTGCGTGTGTAGTGGTCTATTTGGAGCTGCGTTGGCTCCAGAGTGACATGGTTGGCATCAGAACACTGAAATCAATTCAACCCTAATGTGGCAGTCTTGGTGGTCCGGTTCCTGAACCAGGTTGCTCTGAAGTCAGCCAGGGCACTGCCGATGACAGACGAGCCAGCTTGGCTCATCGCAGGACAAGGGGGACCATTGCTGGGGGAGCACTGCATTGTTGGAGGTGCTCAATGTTTGGTTGAGACCTTAAAACCAAGGTCCCGTCTGCCTGTTCGGGTGGACAGCCAAAATCCCATGACGTGATTGGAAAAAGCGAAGGGAGTTTCTCCTGGTGTCTCGGCCAATAATTCTCCAGGTAAATTGGTTATTCACTTCACGGCTGTGGGTTGTACATTGCTGTGTGCAAATTGGCTGCTGCGTTTGTCTACAGATTCATTAGACAAGACAGCAATTCACTGTGAAGCACTTTGAGACGTTTTGACTTCACATTGTCAGCATATCAAATGAAAGGACTATTATATAATTCGTCCAGTCGGTACTTTCTTAGAAATTATCTCCTCTGCTAGCTCCCCTTCCCTCTCTTTTTGCACACACACAAAAACACACACACCTGCAATCTGGAAGCATTTCATTTGCATCAGAGACTAATGTACGGTCGGTTGCAATAATAATTATAATGATCCGTGCATTTGATATAGCACCTGATCACATTGTCGGGACATCTCAATGCACTTTACAGAATTTTACTGTAAAGTGTAGTGACTGTATTTTGTAGGCAAACAGTAATGCCCCACAAACAGCTACAAAGTGAATGATCAATTTTATTTACTGGAAGAACTTTCCGTATTGCACAATTCGGACTCCTTATTAAGAAATCCCGCTGAGAAACACTGAAACTAAGACCCGTTGAGCAATTTTTGGCAGAGGTTTAGCAAGTCTGTATCCTCCGCAGAGCACAGACTTATGTCACTCTCTGACTCCCCAAGCTCGAGAATTAACCCATTAAACAGCAAGTCTTCCCATTAGAGACATCTTGATTTCAATTGCTCAAACGCCACCCCAGATTCAATGGTTACATGGTATGGAAGCATGAGATTTCAATGTTCTTTGCGTAAAATGCAATAGGATATGACTGTATTTTTCTGCCTTCCAGTCAAATAGCTGGAAATTCTTCATTCAAACTGCAGCCCTGGTTCAGGGGATTGATTGAGCCACGGGTTTACTTATAGGCAGATGTGTAGGTGTCATAGCCATGAATCAGCTGTAAAAACTAGCAAACACTTAACCCCTCGGTGATGACAGGAGTGCAACAGACATCATTTTGCACCGTCAGCTCTCGCCATTGATAATAAAACCCATATGTTTCAATATACTCAATTCACTGCCTGTATATGTATGTAATGTGTTGTCTATGGTGATTAATCCGTCTCCTGGGCATACCCAACCGTCTAAGCCAGCGTAAACCATTGTAACATTTCCCTTCTTAAAGAATTATTCCTAAATTCTGCTGGCTTTTAGTGAACTCAAAATAACAGAAAATAACAGAAGGGACTCCAGGATGGGGACAGGTAGGCTTAAAGTCCGCCAGCTGATCTTCCTCTGGAATATAGTTCTCTGGATGTGGAGTCCTGTAGCTCAGTGGTTGGAGCACTCGCCTCGCAAGCGAGAGACCTGGGTTCGATTCCCGGCAGGGTTAAACCTTGGGCAAGTTTCCTTACTCCACATGCCTGATAGTAATCCCTCAAGAAAAAAATATAATAAATTGGCCACTTCAATCCACGACTGTGCGCAATTGGCTGCCGTGTTTCACCCACAAATATACAGTCAATTCACTTTACAGTATATTCTGCGAAGCACTTTCAGACGTCTAGAAGACGTGAAAAGTGCTATAGCAAGTGCAAGGATTACTATTATTGTTATATGAGCGGTTGAATGTCAGGTGAATGAAGGAAATACACTGTCTAGATCAATCTTTGAGATTTGTAATAATAATCTTTACAGTTGATATAGTCCCTTATCACAAATCATGTGCTCTGTTCGCCTACAAATTACACAGCCGCTGCACATTACAGTCTACCGCATGACAATACCACAATGCAAAGATTATTATTTTTGTTTCCTGTGAAACACTTTGCTCACCGGCAGAATATGCTTTCCTTTCACAAACTCACATTTATATGGTACTCTTCACACCGCAGTGTTGTTCCTTTCAGACACAACCATCACAAAACCTGGGGAATGTGAAGCACTTTCTTTTCCAAAGCAACTTCAGCAACAATAACAACAAGATTTCATTTATAGAGCGCCTTTCATGTCGGGAGGACGTCCCAAGGAGCTGGACAGTTGGGTTGGGACCCGAGCAGGGGGGAAACGGTCAGGGTGAGGGGAGGGAAGGGAGGGAGCGAGGCGGGGGTAGAGAGTCAAGAAGGAAGCTGAAGGCACGGTCAAAGAGAAAGGTCTTGAGACCGGCCTTGAAGGAGGAAAAGGAGGAGGCGGCGAAGGCACTGGGGGATGGAGTTCCAGAGCCTCGGGGCTGAAGGCCCGGCCACCGATGGTAGGGCGGTTGGGGTGGAGGATGTGGAGCAGACTGGAGCCAGAGGAACGGAGGGTACGGGCAGGTAAGCAGGGGGATAGTAGGTCGGAGAGGTAGGAGGGAGCAAGGCCGTGAATGGCCTTGTAGGTGAGGATGAGGATCTTGAATTCGATCCTCTGGGGGATGGGAAGCCAGTGGAGGCGAGCGAGGGTGGGAGTGATGTGGTCGCGAAGCCTGGTGCGGGACAGTACATGAGCTGCAGAGTTCTGAATGACCAGCAGAATGACATCGCTGGTCACCACTTACTCCACCACAGAGCAAGTAAAAACTACCCCAAAAACTCTAAGCACTTAAAGTTGCCAGTAAAACCACAAAAGGTATAAATATGTGCAAAATACAGCACAGCAGAAAATTGCTAATGACAAACAAACCTCGAGACCAGACTCTGCGAGGTTTATTGTTGTGTGGTGTGGGGACACTCAGTTTGTCCGACAAAAATTGCTTGGGTATTTCCACTGTCAATATTTGTTTTTTCAAACACTTTCAATGGCTGATGCTCCAGTGCAATGTCAGTGGATCAGTATTAAACTGAGAGCCAGCAGACGTTAAACATCCTGTGGCACTATTTGAAGAGTGAAGGGAGTTTCTCCTTGTGTCCTAGCCAGCAATACCCCAGATAAAAAATGGTCATGATCGAATCAGAGACCTTTGGCTCAATTTGCAGACCAGCAGCACTGCTCAGACGGGAAAAGAAGAAGAGAACTTAGTCGCAAGAAGAATCCACAATGAGATTTACAACTCCCGCTAACTGTCGAGTCCGTGAAAGTAACAGAGTTTGAACGTTCTGGTTGTTGCAGCCATTAAAATAAAATAAAATAAAAATAAAAATATATTTTCACTATTTGAAGCACTTTCGGGAACAATTGACACTAAATGGAAGAAAATTCCAGCTTTGTAATTTAACAGGCACGTAAAAAGGTTGTCTCAGTGTAATAGGCAGTGCTTTGAGCACTTGGGGATGGGGTATGATTCTGAACAAACTCTCAGGGGAAGGACAACATGATACTGACAGCCGTGTTCATTTCAATTTGCCTTCGGGACACAAAACAGAACACAAACAGGACAGGAGTGGTTTTAAACCAT